CTGGCTCTGATCGTATCCGCGTCTGTATGTTAACTTCATCTTCACAATGATAAAGCAGCAGGCAAGGTTGCGTTGGCGCACGAATTCTTGGGCACGATGTTTGTCGACTGCCTTCACTACCAGGTCGACCTGATCGGTGGTGATGCAAACATGCATGGACATTCGCGGCGGCATGTGTCAGAGCCTCCTCGACTACTTTCTCGAAGTTTGGTCTGAGAGTCCGAAGTGCCCTCGCCTGTGTGCTCCGAAGGCACGGCATATTTCCGCAAACTCCTTATGCCTCCTCAAGCAGTATGAGAACACGCTCGGTGGCCAGCCATGCAGGGACTGCGCGAAGCCCGATTGGAACACGTGACCAGGGCTTGATCCCTTAATGGCAACTGTTCTGGAGTTGGGACACGGTGTGTCAGTATGTCGTATGACCAATGGGCAGAGTTGTCGTCAAAGCAGTCAGAATACAGCACACACATCTCCGAGTGGCTCCTCAACTCCACCAGCGCCTCGTACCTTCTGAACGACCGCGAGCTACGACGCCCAAACTCCTCTCCTGATCGAGGTTCACGCGAACCAATACGCAGGTGGACGGATGAGCGCGCTGAACCGAAATCCTGAGACCGTCAAAGAGGCAGCGGATAGGAGGAAAGAGAGACAGGAGGCGAACAAGCCGCGTGGATCTGGTGGTCCCTCGTCCTGAGCCACAGGGAGAGGGAGCATTCGGTGTTACCTCATCTGCTTCTCAACGTCCTCCAGAACCCTCCTGGTGGCAAAGCGGAAGGCGGCAAAGGAGGCAAGTCCTCCAAAGGAAAAGGCAAAGACGCGCAAGTCCAAAGGCAAGTCCAAGGACAAGTCCAGAGGCAAAGGGAGGAACTGACTAGGTTCCGACGTGGGCGAGGGGGACTATGACGACGTCCCTGACGAAGACATGAGTCCTGGCCCCACGAATTCCCTTGGCGATGGACCGCGGTTTCCATACGTTCTACAATTCCATCATTGGCGTTTGGAATGCTGGTACTATCCTCATCGACAGCTTCCGCATGAAGATGAGGATCCACGAGTTCGTCGGCTTTTGGATCTGTACCAACAGCAAGGTCCGATTGAAGAAGTGGACTGTGAGTGTTTCACGGAATGCTTCTCAGAGGAGAAGGTATCCACTTCGAGCATTCGCCATTGCATAGGGAGATGCTTTTCTCAGGAAAAGGTACTTCCTAAAGACCTTGTCAAGAACAAGAAGGTACTCATCACGAGATAAGATACTTCTAAGCCCTTACGATTGCCTTGCCGCAATGATGTCATGCTGGCATCAAGTGGAGCTAAGCTCTACAACTTTATGTGCAGTATGCTTTCCGTCTGGGGAGGGAACTGAACACAGCAGTGGGCAACTTGCAAGCAAAAGCTTTACACCGAAGATCCGTTTGTGTCCGTGTGCGTGTTCTGCTCTTTTCATAAGCTGTCTCCAGGCTGAGATGTATAGTTTCTCGCAAGTCGCAGATGTAGCTTCATCTCCGCAGTATTAGATTGAGCAATAAACAACAGGCTTGTACAATGCCGACTTCACGGCCATGGGCCATGCAGTTCTGCGTGTTTTAAATTTGTGCCTGGTTGAAACATTGAATGTTACGCATCCAGGTGCCTGTCTGTTTCATGTATCACTTGCATGTATCCATGCCTGTTGCTCAGGGTTCTAAACTTCTGCAAGGCTTTACACGAGCTTCATGAGCGATTATCTGGGGTCTTCGGTTCTTTTCAGGGTGAGGTGCAGTGGACTACAGCTGTGCGCCTGTAGTAAAAAGGAGACTCCTGTGTGCCTGCGTTCCTGTACGCCTAGCGAGGGGATACACGCCCAGGTTGCATCTCAACGTCACGCCCTCCCTCCCCCCTCTCTCCCCTTCCCTCTCCCCTCTCTCCCCTTCCCTCTCCCTCCCGCACGCGATCTTGAAAACCAGTGAAAACGTGCTTTGCAGCTTCAAAAAGCATGTTTTCAGTGGTTTTCAAGAACAATCGTGCTGGTAAACCATGCAAAACAAGCTGGCTCCAAGGTCGTGAGCATCCCCTCCCCCCCTTCCCGCCAGGCGTCTGAGGGGTCTACCAAGTACGCCTACGAGGCCGGTGATACAGTTCACGGGCGAGTGGGGGCATAGTATGTCTGACGACCCACTGGGCGGAGTTTCCGCCAACACAGTCGGAATACAAGATACATGTTTCCGAGCGACAGTGGCTCCTCAACTCAGCCATGGTGCATCGCATCTTCTGAACGACCGGGACTTCGACGCCCATACTGCTCTCCTGACCGAGGTTCACGCGAACCAATACACAGGTGGACGGATGAGGGCGCTGAACTGAAATCCCGATACCGCCAAGGAGGCAAAGACAGACGAAACGCGAACAAGGCGCGTGGATCTGGTGGTCCCTCGTCTGCCGCACCTCATGGAGCAGGCTCTCCACAGGGAGAGGGAGCTTCTGGTGCAACATCGTCTGGTTCTCAACGTCCAGAACCCGCACAATTTCATGGTGGCAAGGCAGAAGGCGGCAAAGGCGGCAAGTCCTGCAAAGGTAAGTCCAAAGGCAAGTCAAAGGGCAAGGGCAAAGGCAAGAACTGACTAGATTCTGACTCCGAGTCGGAACCACTGGTTTATGGTCCTGCCCCTCGAGATCTGGATGAAATTCCTCGATCTCCTATCCATCATCCTAGGCCATACGATCCTGCTCGCCATGTACCAATCGTGCCAATCTTCGAGCGGAACATCTACGATTGGGTCCGGGAGCATCGCGATCGGACTCGGGATGATGATATCGAGTTTGTGGACTGAGTGTCTCGCAGAATGCTTCCCGCAGGAGAAGGAATCTACTGTCGAGCCTTTTTCTACTCCATATGAAGATGCTTTTCTCAGGAAGAGGGACTTCCTAATGATCCTGCCAAAGGACAATAGAGAAACTTATCACTGGATAAGATACTCTTCACCTGTTCAAATTGCCACAACCGCAAGCATGCCATTGCTGGCATCAAGTGGAGCTACGCTCTACAACTTTGTGCAATATGCTTTCCATCCGGAGAGGGAACGGAACCCAACAATGGGCAGCTTTCAAGCACAAGTTTTACACCGAAGATCCGTTTGCGTTTCGTGTGCATATTTTGCTTTCTCAGATTTGCTGTCTCCAGGCTGAAATGTATAGCTTCTCTCCAGTCGCAGCAGCACTCCGCGTCATAAGTCGCTTGGGCAATAAGAGGCAAGTTGAATGCCGACTTCACGGCCATGCAGCTTTACGTGTTTTATATTTGCGCCTCGTTGAAACACTGAATGTTACACATCCACGTGCCTGTCTGTTTCATGTATCACTTGCATGTATCCATGGTTGTTGCTCAAGGCTCTAGCAGAGTACGATTTACAGCTGTGCGCCTGTAGCAAAACAAGACTCCTGCGAGCCTGTGTTCCTGTACGCTCATGCGAGGGGATAGACGCCCAGGTTACATCTGAGGGGGGTCTGGGAATGCCAGACGACTGACCATATATGACGTTCTGCTGGCATCACTTATTAAATGCAACTCTCTTTCTTGCAGAAGTAGAAATCTTTGAAAGTTTATGGGGATTATATTTTGAGTTGGCCAAAATGCTTCACCACCCAAACCGTAACAACCCCACACGAAGCACCACGATCCTTCAAGTAGGTTTTGCACCCGCGCGTCCCGCGATTGGACTGTGCTTTCCGACTCACAGAGGCCAAGGCGGCTAAGTGCTTCGCGTGCACTCAGCTTTGATTGGATCTTTTTAACTCGTCACGAGTGAGCTTCAGCGCCGAAGCTTGGAACGGAAACGAATGCCAAAGTCCCGTGTTTTGCTAGTAGTCTGGCAGCGGGAGCATTGGCATCCTCGTTCACGAGTGGTTTCATATACTCCGAACTGCTGAGGCATTTGATGCTGCTCCTCCTGTTTAGTAAGTTTAGTGGTATCACTAGTTTTACGGATAGTGCGGGTCCCATGAAAACCATCATCGCCGTCCCAATAATAGTTGTCCTTTCGAGTTGTGGGTTGAGGCCATGAACACAATTCGCGAGATTGACGTAGCACACGAAGTTTTGGTCTGGAGGTTGTTTTGCCACCAACGAAACATTGAGATGTCTGAAGGCAATATAGAGGGGCACAAGCGCCCATGCTTCCGGCCTAACAATTCGGGTCTCGCCCAGGTGGGCCTTCTATCTTCACGTGTTGGTCCTCTGGTGCCTTGAAGTTTGGCATCAGGTCCCGTTCCGAGCTTTGTTTTGATGGCGCATTTGGGTTGTGTCTTGAGAGGCCTTGGCGAAACCCCTGCCGGCAGATCCTGCCATGGCACTCGAAGCGGCGGTGCAGGCCTGGCGCTTCGGGGCGCCTAACGGCAGTCGTCAGCCGACTCGAAAGGGGTCTGCATGGGGTCTGGGGCAGCACAGATTGTTTCACAGATTCTATTCAGGCTGCGCGAAGTGTCCAGAACCCAGGCGCTCTCAAAGTTGCAAAGAATACGTCCCTCGAGATGCCAAGGGCTGAGACGGGACGGCTGAGACTTCCTTGCCGTGGCCAGGCCAATGCAAAAAGAAACACAGTTGCAAACACCTCCAACGACTGGCCATGCTGCAGGCCGTGCAGGCTGCCTGAGCGTCGAGGAGATGAGAAGCCTCAAAGCCGACGCGGGACGACGTGGGCAGCCAAGCAAGGAGCTGCAAGCAGCTTGGGGCATGACCACATCAAGCGAACATCTTTGCGATCAGCATGACCGGGACTGCAGTGGTGCCGTTGGGATGGGCGTTCTGGCCGGAATCTGTGGGCCCTTCGGCCACGTAGCGCCAGCTCTTGACATATGGTGGCGAAGACCTTGACAAGATTGCGACGCCAGTTGGAGATCATTCTGTCGCACGACATCGCCGACTGCTGCAAAAACTTTCCGAGGTTTTCGATCCATGTAGGTTTGCAAGTCGAAAGCAGCCCTCTTGCCCAGAGACTTAACTCCAGAGTGCTCCTGCTTTGCTTGACATGGCCCAAGGGCGAAGGCAAGGCCGCAAAGGGCAGCATGGCAGAGCCGGAGCAGACAGAACCAGCCGCAAGAACACGGACACACGCGAAGAGGCGAAAAAGGAAGGACCGGACGGCATCGCGCGCCGCGGCCGCCCGAGCCGGATGGCGCAGCTGGCGCTGTCGGCGCTGATTGAAACGCCTTCGCTGCTGAGCTGCGAGGAGGCGCTCCGCCTGGCGAAGGATTCGTGCTGCCGCCCTCAGGAGCACTCCTGGTCCAGCTGGGTTTCCGCTCCCGCTTCCGCCTCCTCAGCTTCACCATCGGTCTCTCGCGTGGATTCGGCGAGTGAAGCAGGCAGCGAGCCCGCTGAGGAGGAGGGCGCAGGCAGCGGCGTCAGCGGCGGCTTCTTCGACTTTGAAAGGCGCGGCAAGATTTGGCAGCTGAAGCGACTAAGGCGCTTGGAAGGTCTTCGACGCCGCAAAGAACTCCAAGAGCTCTCCAAGTGCTCCTTCCAGCCGAAGTTCGCGAAGCTCGAACCGACGCCCAAAGCGGCGCCCTGCGAAGGCTCCAAGCCGAAGCCTTTGTCGCCCTTCTCGAGCTCTGCCCTTGCTGCTCGCCTCTGCCAGCCACTGCCCTCAGAGCACATGCGCTCCTTCCACCTGCGGAGACTCCATGATTCGGTCGAGGAGCAGAGGATGTCAGAGTGCACCTTTCAGCCGGATTTGTCGCGGAGTCGCTTATGGTTGAGCCTCTCCAGGCTGCACGAGGCCGAGGCCGCCGAGGGTGGCCGCTCGGCGGGCATCTCGGGCTCACGGCTACGAGCCAGGACGCCCCCTGTCTCTCCGATCGCTCGGCCCAGGACGCCGCCAGACCGCCAAGCAGTGCCATGCTATAGGACTTCAGGACGTAAACTGAAGGCGGTCCCTAAGTTTCACTGATCGCGTTGTGACTGAGGAACTCCGTGCCTCTCTCAATGACCCGAGCCCAATCCTACCTGGCAGAAGATGTTTTTCATCGCTTGGATCGAGGCCGGAATACCGGCTGAAACGCACCAAGCCAACCACTCTTCGCCTTTCTACTCTGATTGGAGGCTCGGCAGCATGGTCCAGGCGGTCCAACACCGAGGACTGCAGATCTCTTTCGTGCTCTGTGGAGGCTCCGTGTTCGCCATGGCTGCGCAGGACTCGGGTTTGCCCTTGCCTCGTGCGGACGCGAGTGCCGCTGGCACGTGCTGCAATGCCACCACAGCCTTTCTGGGTTTCTTGGAGCGCCAGAACCGCTGCGAAGATCTGCGACGGCAGAGATTAGAGCAGATCGCTTCTGAGATGGCAAGCAGAACGGGGCCAGCCTGGCCAGCAGCGCAAGCGCCGCAAGCGAGCAGAGCGGGAGAGAAAGACGAGGAACCGAAGCGGCTTCCGAAGCCTGCTGGTTTCAAAGGCCGAGTCCGAGGCGGCAGAAGCGCGTCCTCTGAAGAGAAGGACGCGGCCGCGGCTGTGTCGGCGTCACCCAAGGCTTGGACCTGGAGCTTTCGACCCAAGATCTTGGAAATCTCTCAGAGACGGCAACTTCGTGGGAGCAGGGAGCTGAGCTTAGGCGACTGGCAGCGGCGCAAGCTGCGCCTGGAAGAGCTCAGAGAAGATCTTCTTCAGACGCAAGACAGCTACTTTAAGCCCAAGCTCAATGCCTCACGTATCCCTGGCACCTAGACCTATACACAGCTGAACCTATGACAGAGTGACATAGTGACATGGTCTTGTGATTCCTTCTCGTTAGTTTCGGATGTGTCTTGTGTGTTAGCTGGCTCTGAGGCAGGCTCTGTGTGCTGAACGAGCCGGAGACATACATGGCCCGCTTGGCCGCAGACCGCGAGAAAAGCTTGGCTCTACGGGAGAGGGAGCTTCAGCGGCAGATTGACGAGGCCTTGGGCCATGCACGTTTTGTCTTGTCCCTTCAAGAACCTTCTGGCGTGAGGCACTTGCAGAGTGCACTTTTCGTCCAGCAGTGAACCCGGGCGCGCCCAAGTACATTACTCGAATGGCTGAGAGCCACAGAGCTCTGAAAGAGCTACGACGGTCAGCCTCCCGTGAAGAGCGCGGGGGGTCTCTGCCTATGCGCCCCGACTGGCGGTGAGAAGTAACAGCTGGCATCTGGAATCTGCAAGCATTCGATGAGGCAGATTCGTCGCCGCGCTTGCATGGCACGCTTCTCGTCGGTCCGGTGTTTGCGAATCTGGCAGAAGGTGTTGATTTCTTGTGTTTGCTTCAGGGGAGGGGTTGTTCGTAACAATAGATTAGTGGCTAGGAGTAGGACTTGCAGGATGCCTCCTAAAAAGCATAGGTAGGTCATCTAGAGGATCGATCATTCTTCTCCACAGTACATCGAGTACAGTGAAAACCCTGTATAAGAACCCCGTTCGGCGAGAGTAGCCTGCCCTAAGGTTCTTTATTGCCATTACATGTGATTTCGCCGGTCGAGCAGCTAGGGTAGGCTCAGGTTCTTAACCACGCTCTTATCCGCGATTGATACCTTGACTGAGGGCTCTCAGGAAATTTACTTTCGGATTCTAAATTTCCTTGTAGGGGGGGCAGTGGGCCATGGGGTCTGGAACATTTAATTTTTCAATTCTGAATTTCCACAGCTCGCGGGGCGGAGGGCATGGCCAGGGGCCTCAGAAAAGGGAGAGGGAGGGTGAGAGCCTCCAGAAAATTTACTTTGGGATTCTAAATTTCCTGGTGCCGGGGGTGTGGCGCCAAGACCACAGGGCCAGGAGGAGCGGACAATTTGTTTTTTCAATTCTAAATTTCCACGGTTTGGTGGCAAAGGGCTCCATCTCGGTGGAATACTCGGTGCGGGTAAGCAACCCGCAGCGGCATGACATCAGTGGGGATTGAAACAAAGGCTTTCGCGCGTAGGTGCGCGCGGAACCACTGCGCTATGGATTGCTGTCGTGGAGCTGGTCAGTGAGTGTCCTTACCTTGGGGGCGAGGGGTTTTTGGAGCGGGAGGAAGGGCTGGAAATTTACTGTTGGATTCTAAATGTCCTGGTGCCGTGGGTGTGGATCGGAGCCTTGGGCCAGGGACCACAGGGCCAGGAGGAGGCTGGTGTGGAAAATTTATTGTTCCAAACTTCCACGGATTTTGGAGGGGTAACGGCTTGGCCTCGGTGGAATACGCGGTGCGGGCAGCCCGCAGCGGCATGGCACCATCCCCACTGAAACAAAGATTTTGCACCTGCCAGAAAATTTAGAACTTCCGGAGTATGACACCACGGGGGTTCCAAACAGCAGCCTCGTGTCTCCAGAACCTATGCACAACCACTGCGCTGTGGCATTCCTGTCGCCATCAAGCCATTATGCGTTTATTATGTTCGGGCAGAGGGCTTCTTGATGTGGAGGGTTGGGAAATTCAATTTTTGATTTTAAATTTCCTTGGTGAGGGAAAGCACCCAAAAAGTTAAGAACCTGACCCAAAAAACTAGGGTACCCTAAAGTTCTTAATATTGAAGCAACCTGAATCTGGTGAATTCCGCCTGGGTAGGGGCTCAGGTTCTTAAACAGTGGGTTCTTATACAGTATTTCCACTGTAGCAAGCATGCAAGATAGCACGGCACTACAAGGACCCTCAAGCAAGCAAACCCGAACCCCTGAGCCCCGAGGTGCGTTTCGCACCCTGTTCGCTGCGCCCTTCATAGGGCTCGTGCTGGAGCCAAATCCGTTCGGATTTGTGCGTGTCATCCTTAGCAGGGGTCATGCGCCTGCCAGACGAGATGCGGTACACTTCTCGATTTGTGCACCACATGCCAAAAGTAGGGATTAGGCCCTACAGCCATACTCCTCCTCAGCAGAGGACTGAAACTCAGGCCGCCTGCTGCAATCACAGTGCACAAAGACTATCGCTGGCTAGTTGCCCACCGTCTTTCAAGAATGTCGAACACGCTTCAGTGCATGACTCAGCCTATGACTGAGCTCTTGGCCGAGTATCCCCGGGACTCGGTCTTTCATTTCTTGTAACGAGGTGTCACAAGGTTCTTGAGGCCCTGTGGCTCACTGATGGTGTACATCAGCGGGTATCACTAGGTAGATTCCTGATTCCTGCTGGACTATTCCTTCGGCAAGAATCAGACATGCAAGAACTGGACATGACATCGGCTACAACCTCTGTGCAGGACGGCAGCTTCTGTCCTACCAGCTCTTCGTGGTGGCCACGTGTGACGACAAAAACTTCTACGATTCTACTTGAAACCTGCGAGGGGCGAAGCTCAGCCAGTTTCGTTTTCGACAAGACTTTCGTTAGCATGTCTGCAACCAGCGTAGCACCACGGTGATGCTGTAACAGGACATTCTGATCTCAGATCTGGTCTCTCAACCATGATGCCCTCAAAGCAAAAGCGCGCGTCCTCCAAGTTTTCACAAAGAAGGTCTCTGGATTCGCCACTACAATGCTTGCTGAGTTATCGCCAAACATCTTCACGTGTGAGTCAAACTGACGACCTGAAAGAGTCTCCAGCAATGGAAGGATCTTCGTTGTTTCTGACATTGCAAGCGCCAAGGCGTCTGTCTCTGCTTCGCAGACGTTCCATGCCGTAACTGTCTGTTTCGAGCCGCCATGCCAAGGGCGAGCCAGACAAGGTGATTACCCCACCCCGCCTGAGCGTGATCTGCACAGTGTGCTGCCCTCGGGCGCAAACGATGCATCGCTCCACACCTCGAAAGATGTATTAGCGATTAAGCCTTCAAAGCACACTCCAATGTCTAGGGTCCCTCGAAGATATCGCCAGCAACCGTGGGCTATCCTCAAGACTTGCGTCGGGCACTTGTGCAGATGCGAGGCTGTTATTGGCACAACGGACAGGAGGTCCCCTCTGCTCTTGGTTGCTACCCACAGTAGGCAACCCAGCTCGGCTTGGGCCTCCTTCAAGGCCGCAGCGTAACCAGGACCTTCCAGATCTTCAGTTCCTACGAACTCTACCTGTGGAAGCCTTTGGCATCCACGAAGATGTATCCAGTTCCTTTGATGTAGCTCACTTAGAATCCATCTCTTCTGATGGAACTTGACAGTACCGTCAGCTTCGAACTGAATCTGAAGCCCGATGAATGTCATCTCTTGAACTCGCTTCAAACTGAAGTCTCCCGTTCGAAGCTCGTCAGGACCCTCACAGCTGATAAAGCTTGAGAGTTTTGTATTCCAAGTCGCTGCAACAAAGTCCAGGAAGGCTGTGACTGCCGATGCCTGGCCTACCACCAAAGCATCGTCGACGTAGACTGCAGCGATGCCTATGACTTCTTGCGAGCAACCATTTCGCAGAACAAAGAATCCCTCTTGATCTGAAACCAACTCTGCAACAAAGGATCCTCCATCGTAAGCAAGCTCTTTGCCATTCATGGTGTCGTCCCTCAGCTTGCTTGAGGCTCTCGGACTCCTCCTCAAACCTCTCGCCACAACACATTAGGCTTGACTGGTCCCAACCGCTTCTGGGTCGAAGGTGGTTCTAGTAGTACGATGTCGTCATCATCAAGCTTTAAAGTTCAGGAAGGCCAGAGAAACGTCTCCAGATGCAGCCGCCCACTCAGAGTGGGCACTCAAGTCATGTCCCATGATCGGAAGTGCAGTTCGACTGACGTTCTGCGTCGTGACCTCAGCACCGTCATAGGCCTCGAAGTTGCCATAAGCACAAGACACAGACGTACCTCGTGACGAGGAAGGAGCTACGACTATGTGTGCTAGCCTACCTATACCTACTCGAAGCTATTGAAGGTAGTTTCGCTAGAAACGGAGTTTCGTTCGCGCTCGTCGCTCGCAGGAGAGTTGCCTCTGACATGCAGAGCCGAGATAGCATTGACTTGGAATGGCTACGAATGTGTGACAAGCGTTGCCATTCTGGATAAAGTCCCACTTTCCAGGGGGGTAATTTTGAAGTAGAGGGGTGAGGAAGGGGTACTTGGCCAACAGACAAGGGAGAATGGCAGCCTCGCCTCGGTCTTTCTCGGCTACTTCAAGATGACCATCTTGAGGCGAACAAAAACTACTGGAGCTAATCGTCGGTGTGCATCTCGGAGAGAGCTTACTTCGAGGACTGCAGATGGCTAGCGGTGGGCTTCAACCTGCTGAAGGACCATGCGGGCTACCAGCGTGACTACCTGATGCCGAGGCTCAAGCATAACGCGGTCTTGGAGAAGAAGATGGCGACCTACGCGGATGCGATGATGGCGACCGCGGGCCTTCTGGCTATGGTGGGCACGTCGTGGCGGTCGGAGCACAGGTGCTGGTCACCGGGCTGAGCTTGAAACCGATCCCTCGGGCGCGACATGCTGGGGATGGAAGGATACCTACACCCGGAAGCACAGCTAGTGAGCCGGAGTTGGGACCGGAGATTCACCGGCACTGACCGACAAGCTACATTGTTGTAGAACTCCTGGGCAAGAAGTTTCGGCTACACAAGGGGGGCCAGGCTGGATGGATGTTGGATGGCCCGGCGTTTGATTTTAAGAACTCGCAGGAATTTTCAGCGAGGCGGGAGAGCAGCCAGTATACCCACGTCTGCAAGCTATGTTGGCCGAAAGGTCGTAAAGAAGGCTCCCTTTCTAGTGATAGCGACACCTCACAGGCGAACACGGGCGATGAGCCGCCGGCGCCGGGAGAGGTAGAAAACCCAGGGGAATGCCTAGCTGCTGAGCGGCTTGATGGTTTCCTGGGGATAGCTCCGCAGTTTCCTGTCTGTGCAACCCATGTCGGCGAGCCCGTTCGGCTGGGAACTACCGGAAGGCGGTGGTTCTCGGGAGGCATTTTTGGGGGGATATTTCTCTGCCCTGAAGATTTTCGTTTTTTTTCCCGGTCTCGGGAACGGGTTTCTCCGGAGAGGGAGAAAGAAGAGGAGCGGAGAGTCGAGAGAACTACGTTCTTGCACTTGTTGCACTTGCTATCTTGTTTGTGCTAGGACGTGTAGGCCACAAGATTCCAGGCAGGCTAGGCTGCGTGCTGCGTCGGTGACACAGGCTAGGCTTCTGCATGTCGGCTAGAGCAACAGAAGAAACGCTGCGGCTAGAAGAGTGGGTGACGACCCATTGAGAGATCCCTAGCGAGCCCACAATATGCCGCTGGCTAGGAACATGGGGGATAGGCCGGCCAACTGGGCCAACCAAACTGAAGCTCCAAGAGTTTCAAGAAGGGGCTGGTGTGCAGCCCAGTGGGCGGCTCGGCCAGGATAGTTCGCGGCCAGACGGGTAGATGCTGGGACGATATCCCGGAAAGGCTGGAGGCTAGAGGGAGGATAGCCAAGAACCGCCGCCTGGCGGGGCTAGCCCCACAGACCCGGCGAGACCTGGAAGAAAAATCTTCAATGGGAGGCCAAGATGTTGCAGCTAGAGAAAGAGCTGAGGGCTAGCGCTGCCGTTGCTAAGCAAGAGCTCTTCCGAGCTAGTGCGGGAAGAATCCGAGGTGGTCAAAGGCGGGCCGTGGGGGCCGGACGGAGGCATGATAGACCTTTCAAGAGCTACGAGATGGATAGCAGGCAGCACCGGGCCACGGCCAGATGCCGGATAGAGGGCTGGATACGCTGCCGCCCCGGCGGCCTCACACCTGGTGTGGGCCGCTGGCACGTGGCAGGGGTTATCTTGAGATGCATCGTCGTATGTGACAGAGGGCCCGCTGGTGTCATCGTAGATGTCGGCAAAGGAGGGGTGGTCGGCGCCATGCGGCCGATCCACGACGGTGGGCTCGAGTACGTCGGACTCGAGCTCACCACGACCCTCACCGAAGCAGGAGGCGGGCGTCGGATGCCATGGAACCGCCGGTTCTCGGTGGGCAGCATCCTAAAATGCATGCCTGCTGGCACCGTTGTATGATCATGTGATACATGTAGCATGTGCATGGAGCCCCCAATTGAGCCCCCAGGTTGCTCTTGCTGCCTTGCTGCGTCGCTTGACTCTGACTGGACTCTGACTCATGCAGCTCGGTCCTTGCAATAAAAACAATGAGCTCAAAGTTGTCGATCGGCGCCGGGACTGTGGGTACCTGCGGCGGGCTGAGTTGACAAGATCGACCAAGAAGAGTGCGCTCTCGCCCGTCCCGGTTCCAGGGCCAAAGGAAGTCCATGGCAGAGGCGAGGCCCGCACAGGGCCTACTTCCACACGCGTTGTAGCTTCTCTGATTCCTTTGTTGTGGTCGGCTCGGTGCTTTCATGTGACCACAGAGCCAATGTAAATATGTTTGGCGTAGGGGCGTAGGATTCAGGATCTATCCAGCTGACCTCTGGCAGCCATGCAGGGGCCTACTCGAACCCTTTTGCCTGCGGCGAGGCAGAGTGCCGACAGCCACACAACAAATACATCAAATCTCAACAAACCAGCAATGCATGCTGTACTGTCGATATATTGTCCGCCCGGCCCCTGACAGCAATCACTTCTCATCGTGGATTTCTAAGAGCTGTTTCAGCTCCTGCTGCGACCAGATTTGCCCGCTGTCTGTGACGTACATGTCGATGCCCAAGGCCAGCATGTGCTTGAGCTGCATCATCGCTCTTACCTTGAACTGGTCCCACTCAGCTTCAGTCATGTTCTCGGGCTTCTTGGGATGCGGATTAAAAGTCATCTCAGCCTCGTCCGTTGCAGACACTCCACTCGCCTGAGCTGCTCCAGTCTCGTCTGTTGCAGACATTCCACTCGCCTGAGCTGCTCCAGTCGAACGACCGTCCCGTACACCGCTCGATGCACGTGCGCCAGTGTCTGCGGAGCCGAGAAGAAACCCTCTGCGCATTGCACTAGGGTAACGTTAACGATCGGAGGGCTTTTGCAGGCCCAAAGGCTCTCCGATTGATTATTTCCGAGCGAGGATGGTGTTTTCAAGCGCCGATCGAAGAACAAAAAATCAAGCGTTCGATTGATAAAATCAATCGAGGATCCACATAGTACACGAAGTATAAATTCAATCGAGGATTCGAGCGGGGACCTTCATAAATTCAATCGAGGAATCGAGCGAAGAATCGAGCGTAGGATGTTAAAAATCAATCGTAGACATCGCAAATTTTCGTATTGTTCTGTCTAACAAAACTGATATATTATATATATTATATATATATATATATATGTATATTATATTATATTATATTATATGTATGTATATATATATATATATGTATACATATATATATGTATATATATTTATATATATATATATATATATATATATATATTTATATATATACACACACATACATACATACATACATACATACATACATACATACACATATATATATATATATGTATATATATATACGTAGCATGTGTGTATATATATATATATATATATCTATATATATATATATATACATGATACATACATACATACATACATACATACATACATACACATATATGTATATATAGCATATCGAGGCAAATGTGGATTTCATATCTAGATAGATAGATAGATAAATAGATAAAGACATTTAAAGATATATAAAGATATGTGAAGATATGTAAAGAAACATAGATAGATATAGATAGACAGATAGATGGATGCATAGATAGATAGATATAGATTATTTCAGTGCAGGTTTTGATTTTTGTGGTTCCGGGTTTGATGTTTATAGGGTTTAGGTTGGGGTTCAGGTTTTCGGCTTATGCGGTTTCTATATATAGGGTTTATGGCCTAGGGTTTTGGGGTTTAGGGGTTTCGGCGCATAGGGTTTGGGCCGGAGTTTGGGGTTCAGGGTTTCGAGTTTAGGGTTTGGGGCTAGTGAATATGCATATATATATATATATATATATTCACATACATTCACATACATACATATACATACGTATACATACATACATACATACATGTATATAATATATACATAGGGGTTAGGGCCTATAGGGGTATGGGGTTTAGGGGCTTGGGGTTTAGGCCGGGGTTTGTGGTTCAGGGTCCGGGGTTTGGGGTTCATGGGTTTAGGGCTTATAGGTTATTATATGTAGGGTTTGAAGAGTCTGGACAGATTCTTATGCCTGGTCTGGATAGACCTTCTTTCTTAGTATAGGGTTAACGAGTCTGGACAGATTCTTGGTGCCTGGTCTGGACAGACCTTTTTCTCTAAACCCTAGACCCAAAACCCTGATCCCTAAGCCCTAAACCGTAAACTCTAAACCATAAACCCTAAACCGTGAGTCTGGACAGATTCTTAATGCTTGGTCTGGACAGACCTTTGTTCCTTAAACCCCAAACCCTGATCCCTAAGCCCTAAACCTTAAACCATAAACTCTAAACCATAAACCGTAAACCGTGAGTCTGGGCAGATTCTTAATGGTCTGGACAGACCTAAACCTTAAACCATAAACCCTAAACAATAAGCCCTAAAACCTTAAACCGTGAGTCTGGACAGATTCTGGATGCCTGGCCTGGTCTGGATAGACCTTCTAGGGTTTATACGGCTCAAGATTTCTGGATCCTGGATGGTCTGGCAAGACCTTTTTATTTACCAGGTTGTTTTGTGTGCTACTTTTTCCTGTCTGTCCAGACATTGATGGTCTTGGCAAACCTTTTTTATTTACCAGGTTGCTTTGTGTGCTACTTTTCCTGTCTGTCCAGACATTGATTCAGCCATGAAATTATATGCTAAAAACAAGATGCACCATGCACGACATGTCTGTCCAGACATTGATTCAGCCCTGTCGACTTCATCCTAAAACACAAGATGCACCATGCATGACCTGTCTGTCCAGACATTGGTTCAATCTTATTGAGCACGTTTTTCTTCCTCACTCCTCATCTTCATCGAGATTCAGCCATCCTCGCAGCAGGAGCTCGTAAGCTAAGGCGAATTTTCCACAAATCTTCAGTGGAATCTGGTAGCTCGGCATTCCTCTATCACATGAAGCAGCGATTTTCTTGCACACCGACATGAAACTCTCAGGGCCATAGGTCCAAGCAAGTCTGGGTGCCATCCATTTACACTGAACATGAAAATGTGCCATCAAGTGGAACTTCTGGGTGACACTGTACCTCTTCTTTCCTCTGTTGAAAGCATCTCTGCTCAAGAAAGTGTAGTGCAGGAGCAATCTGTCAATCGCCTTCTCCATGCTTCTGTGCCTGGTATCCAATATAATATAACAATAAAAGAAAGTCTGCCGTTTATGTTAACCTTTATGCGGTATATTTCAAGGTTCAGGACTTGGTATATGGGAAAACCACAAAGCTCAAAGTTCAATTCATTTCACATGCATGCAAGCTACTCCTTTCTGTCGAAGCGATACTTCTGGCAGTCACACAGCTCGTAAATCTCGTCCATGGCCTTCACTGCTTCAAGACGATGCTTTCCTGCCACTGTATCCTTGTACAAGTCTGCCAACCCCACAGCCACACTCGAGAACTCTCGTATTCGTCGCCCTTTCACATGGCTCAAGCACGGGTACCCAGTCTGACTTTGAATGTTCCCTTTGCTCAACTTCGGGATTCTGGCAGCAGCTGGGGTCGACTGACTCTCGTACAGCTCCTGGATTCTTGAGTTCAAAGCTCCAATGGATGCAGCGAAGTTCCCAGGTAGGTGGTCCTCCAAGATGTCGTTGATCAAGTTTCCATACAAATGCGAACTGACTCCAAGGTCTAGCATGTGCAACACATCAAGTTTCGGGGACCAAAAATTGATCCCTGGAACTTTAAACAAAGGGTGATCATTTTCTCTTGGTTCTCTGGGTTGCTTTCTCCACTCAGCACTTGCTCTGAAGTCATTGAACGGGGCGACAGCATCTGCATCTTTGAAAAGGTTGTCACACTTGCAGTAAGGACACAAATTATTGCTGTTCGCAGTAGGCCATCCGAATTCCTGCGAGAAGAACTCCAAGTCTCCTACCAAAGCCATGACCACAGCTTTGTGTCGCGAGGCCAACAGTGTCAAACTTTCACAGATCTTGTCCCACAAAGCTGGCCACGATCCAGCATTTGCTGATTTCGGCAAACAGCCGATCAGCAATTCCGAGGTCTTAATCGACCTCTTGGTTATCATGCATCGCACGCTTATTATCAAGAGCGAATCTGTCTCGCTGAAAGAGGCGTGATCGCCGGGGAGGATCAACGGAACCGGTAGCGATTCCATCACATTCACGTCTCTCCAGAACTGTCTGCTTCTCCACAGCTGTTCATTTTCTCGAAAGTTTTGGCATTGCCAAAATTCTCGGATCTCATTCTTTGTTGCCTTATATTTCTGAAAAAGCCAATAACAGCGAATAAAAGTTAAACTTTATCCTTAACCCCTGAGAAAACCCTGCCAAAAAAACCTTGCAAAAAACACAAAACTTAAAGCTCAAAGTACTCGCCAAATTGCAGTGAACATCTCCAGCACATCGTTCTTCTCCAGCACATCGAACCACTCGTGGGGAAGAAGCAAAGGCACCTGCTTCGACTCCACCACGGCACCACCAGATTTCTTGTCTCTCAAGGACACCGGGGTGCTGATCAAGGTACTTTCTGGCGCTCTGCACACATTCAGCATCTTCATCAAGTCTCTGTGGCAGCTCTGCGCACTAGTGCCTTGTCCTCCCAGCATCTGCAAACTCGCCAGGTCTGGGCTGGGTTCTTTGCAGCTCCGAACTGTTGCACTCGCCATTTTCTGCACTTGAGCAGCTGAATGAAAGTCGTCCAAAAGCGAACTCTTCCAGTAACAAGAGTCTCAGAGGCGACGGGGCCGGTTCAAGAAGGTTAGCCTTCCTCTTCTTCCCCATGGCCTCTCTCACTTCTCACCTCTTTGGGTGAATCTACATTTTCGAAAACATGCTCGAGCAGCTGCATCAAATATCATCGGATTCCATTCTGCTTGTCCAGGCACTAATGCGTCGAAGTGCAGCAAATTCTGCCTGTCCAGGCATTAATGCTCGGAAGTGCCTGTCCAGGCATTAATGCCTATAGTGCAGTATATATTCTGCCTGTTCAGGCATTAGTGCTCGGAAGTGCCTGTCCGGGCACGAATTCCTGGAAGTGCAGTATATATTCTGCCTGTCCAGGCATTAATGCTCGGAAGTGCACTTCCAGGCATTAATTCCTGGAAGTGCAGTATATATTCTGCCTGTCCAGGCATTAATGCTCGGAAGTGCCTGTCCAGGCATTAATTCCTGGAAGTGCAGTATATATTCTGCCTGTCCAGGCATTAATGCTCGGAAGTGCCTGTCCAGGCATTAATTCCTGGAAGTGCAGTATATATTTTGCCTGTCCAGGCATTAATGCTCGGAAGTGCCTGTCCAGGCATTAATTCCTGGAAGTGCAGTATATATTCTGCCTGTCCAGGCATTAATGCTCGGAAGTGCACTTCCAGGCATTAATGCCTGGAAGTGCAGTATATGTCCTGCCTGTCCAGGCATTAAGTGCCTGTCCAGGCATTAATGCTTAGGAACTGCAATATGCCGACCGACATTCTGCCTGTCCAGGCATTACATACTCAAGTGTATTTCCTTCTCCAGCATCTGCCTACCACGACGAATATCAAAAGCAATAAACATGGCAAGTGAACGTGCGTGAACAAACTTGCTTCAAGCTTTTTCACGGCTCGGCCCTGATTCTGCACTCGTCTCGGTCTTCTTATAGAAGCGAGACCACCTCCAAGTCTTAAGGCTTCGGTCTAGGACTGATCGAGTTTCAGTCTGCCTCAGCCGATTGGTCACAAAAACCTATGTTCAAACCGATTGATCTCAAATCGAAAGGGCTCAGCTCTCTGCATCACTGCTCTGGCGCTTGAGCTTCTTGTCCTTGGTCTGGGTCTGCTTGCAGACTGCCAAGTTCTTCTTCAGGTTCTTCGAAGCCTTCAACGACTTGAGGGCCATCAGGAGGCTCTTTTTCACAGCATCCTTACTGGCGAGGTTCTCAATGCCCGACCCCACCTGTTTCAAGGTCTTCGACAGATCCTCCAGGTTCTGCTGGACGTCCTTCTTCTCGTTCTTCCTGAGCTTCGACTCCAGGAGCAGCATCTGAAAGAAGGTCTCTTCCTTCTGCAGCTCGGACTTGAAGAGGGTCAACTTCTTGTTGAACTCACTCTTGTTGTCTGTCTCGTCAATCTGCGACAACTTCTCCCAATCCATGCTCTTCGCCTTCGACTTCGACGATGAGGAAGCCCTCTTCGTCTTCGTCTTCTTCTTCGTGATCGTCACCTTCTTCGCGTGGCTGGACTCGCTGTCTTCCTCGTCGCTGGAGCTCTGGTGTTGGTCATCATCCATCTTCGTAATGACAGACTTCAAGTCGGGGTCGATCTTCATCTCCTTCACCTGCTCCATGTCCTGCAGCTCCTCGAAAGTGAGCTTGTCCAAGGCAAGAGCCTTGTTCTTGCCGACCTTCTTGTCGGGGCCCGACACTGAGCAGCTCTTCTTTTTCTCAAAGCCTTCGGATTCCTGGTCGTGCACGTTGGCGAACTCCAAAAAGTTCGAATCTGTCTTCGATCTTCTCCATTTCATGGTTCCCGCCTTCAAGCGGGCCAATGCCTCCGTCTTGCCGAAGCGATTCGTCATGGTTTTCCAGGGTTCCCAAGTCACCTGAACCTTGTGCGAGCTCATCTTCGTCAGTTGCAAGCATGCTTTCTGGTAGTACTTCCCGCACTTCCCTTCATCAAGAAGCCAGCTGGTCAACATGTCTTGCTTTCTCTTGTTTCCACCGGCACCGCTTGTCTGTTCTCGGTAGGATGCATCACATCCCTCCTTTTGCCGGCCTTCTCAAACAGCTTCCACACCATCTGTTGCTCACTCGGGGGGAGCATCTTAAAGGCGTTGAAGACCTCATTGGCTGACCAGCCTTTCACCTCCAACAACTCGGAGTGCGTCTTGATGTTCTTCAAGCTCAGCGGGAACTTCTCCTTCGTCTTCTCCGGCTCGCTGACCTCAGGGTCGTTCTCTTTCTCGTGCTCCTCCTCCGCCTCTTCCTCGTCCTCCACGTGCTCTTCCTCGTGCCCTGCCTTCGACTCCTTGGTCTTGTCGTTCTTCTTCTCCTTGGGCTCCTTCTTGGACTGCTTGTCGTTCTTCTGCTCCTTGGACTGCTCCTTCTTGGGCTTCTTGTCGTTCTTCTCCTCCTTGGACGGCTCCTTCTTGGACTGCTTGTTGTTCTTCGTGGGCGGCTTCTCGCCCTTCGTGGGGTCCTCGGGCTTCGTCTTCTCCTCGTCCTTCTTGGCCGCCTTCTTCTTCTCAACAGGAAGAAGCAACGAGGGCTTCTTCAGGATCGGCTTTAGAACTTTCCCGACCGCCTTCACAGCTGCAGGCTTTTTCATGGCTCGATCTCTCAAGCTATGTTCCTAGCTGTCGATCTCTTTGAGACAAAACTCTGGTATGAAAAGGACTATCCTTCCTGTCTGTTCTGTTTCCTTGTCTGTCCAGACACTATTCAATCTCTTTAAAATTTCCTTGTCTGTCCAGACACTAATCAATCTCTTTAAAATTTCCTTGTCTGTCCAGACACACTCAATCTGTATACCGTGTCTGTCCAGACATGGAATGTTATTCTATTCGATCTATAGTCTTGTCTGTCCAGGCAACATGTCTTGGCGGAGTGCATGGTTTAATGTGTTTACAGCTTATATAAGTATATAGTTTTATTTGGAAGGGGGGGTCTTCGGGTTTGGGAATTAATTTAAGGTTTCAGGTCGATATAGGCTTGGGTTTGCTCCTGTTTTGGGGCTTCGATCTCTGTGTTGACAAATTGTGGCTTAAGCATGGGTGGGCTGGGGTGGGGTTGGGGCGGGGTGGGGTGGGGTAGGGTGGCGGGGTGTGGTTGGGGGTGGGGGTTGGGGTGGTTGGGTGGTGTGGTAGGGGGGTGGTGGGGGGTGTGGTAGGGGGTGGTTGGGTGGTTGGGGCGTGGGGTGCACATGGGCATGTGTGTGTGTGTGTGTATGTCTTTATGCATGTGTGTGTGTGTGTGGTGTGGGTGGGTGTGGGGGTGTGGGTGTGGGTGCGGGTGCGGGTGCGGGTGTGTGGGTGTGTGGTTGTGTGGGTGTGTGGGTGTGTGGGTGTGTGGGTGTGTGGGTGTGTGGGTGTGTGGGTGTGTGGGTGTGTGGGTGTGTGGGTGTGTGGGTGTGTGGGTGTGTGGGTGTGTGGGTGTGTGGGTGTGTGGGTGTGTGGGTGTGTGGGGGTGTGTGGGTGTGTGGGTGTGTGGGTGTGTGGGTGTGTGTGGTGTGTGTGTGTGGGTGTGTGGGTGTGTGTGGTGTGTGGGTGTGTGGGTGTGTGGGTGTGTGGGTGTGTGGGTGTGTGGGTGTGTGGGTGTGTGGGTGTGTGGGTGTGTGGGTGTGTGGGTGTGTGGGTGTGTGGGTGTGTGGGTGGGTGTGTGGGTGTGTGTGTGGGTGTGTGTGTGTGTGATAGTCACAGGACGACACATGAATTCATGTGGTGTTCTCTTGTTTTCACAGGACCACACATGAAGTCATGTGTTGTTCTGTTGTTTGGCACAGGATAACACATGAATTCATGTGGTGTTCTCATGTTTTCACAGGACAACATATGAAGTCATGTGTTGTTCTGTTGTTTGGCACAGGATAACACATGAATTCATGTGATGTTCTCTTGTTTTCACAGGACAACATATGAAGTCATGCGTTGTTCTGTTGTTTGGCACAGGACAACACATGAATTCATATGTGTGTCTGCTTTGCTTTTAATTAAGACACATGACTTCATATGTTGGCTTTGTTCCTTTTGCATTAGGACACATGAATTCATGAGTTTGCTGTTTCTTGTATGAATATTAACATATGAATTCATATGTGGTGCAGTTTTTTTCATGTGTTAATCATGTGAATGCAAAGTTTCTTCACATGATTGACATGTGAATGAAATTTCTTCACATGATGTTCATATGAGTAAAACCGTGTTCATGTGAACAACATATGTGTGAAACGGTGCTTTCGCATGATTGTCATGTGATTGGCTTGCTCTTCTGTGCATAGCACACATGAAGTCACATGGTTTGTTCTGCTCGTTGGTTGACAATCATATGAAATCATATGTTTCGTTCTTTTGGTTCTGGCATCATCACATGAATTCATGTGGTTCTTTCTTCTTGGCACAGGATAACACATGATTTCATATGTTGGGTTTGATTTTTTCAGGGATCATCATGTGAACTCATGTGTGTTTCTGTTCCTGGCCCCTGGCTTCTTCCCTGGCTGAGTCTCTTTGTTTCTTCTCGCCTCGATCCGGGCGGTGGTGCATCTATGATACGGATACAGACACACCTGTTCTCTGGCTCCATTTCAAGTTAGCTACTCTGGCTTCTATAGAGTTTACTCTGGCTAAAACCACATGCATGCATATAGCCCTGGGCCAGATCACGGCGGTCAAGGACCATTTGCGGGTGACACGAACACTCCTGTTCTCTGGCCTCATATCTTCTCTCGGCATCTACTCAGGTTTCTTCACACTCTAGCTTTCAAAGCCCACATGCATACTCGAGGCCAGATCAGGCAGGCGAAAAGATCTGGGTTTGGAGCAGGTGCCTGTCCAGGCATTGATCTGGACTCTACACTATTTGGACTCTAGACTCTATCTAGACTCTCAGCTACACGTAGCCCTAAACCTATTGGTAAGAGAAACTGTCCCCATGCTGCATCTGCTCCAAATCCAGATTGTAGACCCTGCGAGCTCCAACATAAAGCGAGCTCACAGCATCGATGCCTCGAAAACTCTCACAGCTTCGCCTCATGCATCCATTCACATGGGCCCGCAATTCCGAGGATCTCGGCACAAAACTGAAAAACTGACACGATCCACAAACCTTAAAATACTTTGTCCCAAGCTTCTCCCCAAAACTCATCTGCGAGATCCCCTTTATATCTCATATGCGTGGGCAAAACTCGGTGTCCGTCCGGCTCGGGCTCCTCGGCAGTCTCAGTTTGCTCCCTTGGGCTTGGCCTCCCATGGCAAAAAAATTGAACTGCACTGTCTGTCCAGACATTGAACTAGCTTAATTAATATAGGCTAGACATTATCATGACCTTATTGCACCCGTCCTGACCCTTTCCTCCCTTCTCTCCCTTTTCTTTGCCGCCTTTTCCAGGTTCCTGCCCAGAAAGATTATGAACTCATCAGCGTACAGACGACACCGTTCCTCGCCTGGGTCTGGTCTTTCGTGGGCTCGTTTCTCGTGTTTCCTTTGCCTGGATCCTGATATGAAACTTGCATTAGCTTATATTAATTGTCTTGTCTGTCCAGACATTAATGACTATATACACTGCACTTCAGACTCGATCGCCTCCTCCTTTCCTTTGGTCTTCGACTTCCCGCCTCCCTTGCCCGGGTCCTGAAAAGAAAAGGTGCATTAGCTCATATTAATCTTGTCTGTCCAGACATTATGACTATACACTGCACTTCAGACTCGATCGCCTCCTCCGTTCCTTTGGTCTTGGACTTCCCGCCTCCTTTGCCCGGGTCCTGAAATGAAAAGTTGTATTACCACATACTAATCTTGTCTGTCCAGACATTATGACTATACACTGCACTTCAGACTCGATCGCCTCTTCCGTTCCTTTGGTCTTCGACTTCCCGTCTCCCTTGCCCGGGTCCTGAAAAGAAAAGGTGCATTAGCTCATATTAATCTTGTCTGTCCAGACATTATGACTATACACTGCACTTCAGACTCGATCGCCTCCTCCGTTCCTTTGGTCTTGGGCTTCCCGCCTCCTTTGCCCGGGTCCTGAAATGAAAAGTTGCATTAGCTCATATTAATCTTGTCTGTCCAGACATTATGACTATACACTGCACTTCAGACTCGATCGCCTCCTCTGTTCCTTTGGGCCCGGAAGTCTTCGTCTTCCCGTGTCCCTTGCCCGGAGCCTGCAATGAACATTTGCATTAGCTTCATTATATCTTGTCTGTCCAGACACTACGAATATACACTGTTCACACCCGATCGACTCCTGCACTCCTTTGGGCCCATCTGCCTGACCCCTCGTCGTGGCATCCTGCTGGGGCTGCATCGCTGCCTGCAGTTAGGCAGCATCTCGATCTGAAACATACTTGTCTGTCCAGACATCAACACCATGGCTACAGCAATCCTGTGCTGCAGCTGCACTGGCTGCATCGCCGTCCTGGCAGGGTCACCAACATGCAAAAATCTGTCCACTTTGAATCACACAGGGTCCTTCTGGGGCTCAGGTCGCCATGGCGGCGGATTCAAGTTCATCGCCTGTTCAGGGGCCGAGGCATTCTCAAAAACATCACAGTCTGTCCAGACTTTAATTTGCATGGGGTCCTCGTGCACTTGCTGCTGCACATGGGCCCATCTGTTCTCTTCTGGGCTCATCCCCTGGGCAGGGGCAAATGTCAATAAAAACACAGATCGAAACAAGTCTGCCATATTTCAACCACTTGTCCTGCGACTGGAGCTGTTGTTGTTGTTGTCCGTAGGACTCTTGGCTCATGACCTGTGCGGGGCGGGGCGTCAAAAAAAGTCTGTCCAGACTTTATAATATTCAATGATATATGGGTCGTGGGCCTGGATCCCTCCTTGCCCTTGGCTCCACGTGGGGCGATGCTAAAAAAAGTCTGTCCAGACTTTATAATATAAGAATGATAATCCCTTCCCCCTAATATTAAATGGTCGGGGCCCCCCCCCTTCGCCCTAAATAAAAACTCGAGAATGTTTTTATAATTAGGGTCCCGTTGTTATCTCAACTGCCAGAAACACAGGTTCTACAAGTAATTAAATGATGAAAATGATGACGATGAAAATGATGATGACGATTACGGTGATGCTTGTTATGATGAAGATGGCGGTAGTGGTGGTGATGGTAATGATGACGATGATCATGGTCCAGGAGAAGAACATGATGATGATGAAGAACATGATGATGATGTTGTTGTTGATGATAGCGATGCTTCATGGTTGCACTAGTGCAGAAGAGCACATGTGGTGAATGCCAGAAGCTTGGAAATAAAATGATAATTAAATATGATAGGAACTAATTAATTAATGATGTTCCAAGCTTCTGGCATTCGCTGCAAGTGCTTTGCTTCTGAGAGTTCTGTCAGCAATCTGCCCGCTCCGCCACAGACAGGCAGCCTCAAGAAGAGGCCTTTGTGCCTTGGGAACAACAGGCTGTCGACACACACACACACACACACACTCACACACACTCACACTCACACTCAAGCACAGACAGACCCACCGGAGCACTCAAACACAGACACTCACGCACACTCACTTCGGAGGCAGACAGGACGTGTGAGTGCTTCGCTTCGCCATGGGCGGCGTGTGAGTGCTTCGCTTCGCCATGGGCGGCGAGGAAGCCCCCGAGAAGGCGGGATCTTTTCTAATCTCCCGTCTTAGTAATCCTTCAGACATAAAAATGACAGGCGGGGGAATCGAGCCCCGGCACTATCCATTGAGGGTGTAGCACTACCCCCTCGGCTATCCTGTAGCATGTCAAGGTAGTTCAATTCTGACCCCTAGGAGATTATCACGACCACGATTCGCGGGTGCAAGTCCAAATGCAGTAATTAATTACTGACAGCAAAATCAAATTTTGGTGCAGTGGTTAAGGATTTGCCCCGATGCCCAGAAAGTCTGAGAATTACAATGTGTAAGATCGGCGCAAACCGCTAAAAACAAACCGGCAGGGTTTTCATGGTCTAGTGGTTAACGTCGTGCCTGCCAGGAGCTGGAAGGCTGCCCGACAGATCCTGGGCAGCAGGGACGAGCGACAAGGGCATCTTCGGAAACAGGGTGGATTGTGCTTTGGAGTAATTATTGGAGGTGCTTTCCGAAAAATGCTGCATGGACTGTAGAATCATACACTGAACAGAGGACCCCATGGTCTAATGGATAAGGCGCTCTGTGGGTAACCCACGGAAAGATGGGTGGTTCGAGTCCCCCTGGGGTTGTTCTCATGCCAAATCGCAGTACAAGCTTAATTAGTACTGGAACCGCATCGTTCCCAACCCTGTGCGGCAGGGTCCCGGTAGCGTAGTGGTTAGTACATCCTCCCTTGACCCTACCAAGCAGGGAGTCCCCAGCGGGCCACTAAGAGGCCAACGCGGCCGGGCCATTTCTGACCATTGGAGGTGTTAGCCGCTGCTCTTTGTATTTTGTTGTAGGCTAAACTTCAGGGCTGTAGGCAACCCTAAGCCCTTGCTTGGAAGCTTGTCCTGGCTGACTGGAAGCTGCCTTGAAGTGGACTCTGTTCTGAAGAAGCTGCCCATGGAGAACGACCTGATGTGGCGGCCACTCATCTGTGCAAGAGCAAAAAGCACAATGTCACAGAGCCGGATCCGGCAGACCATGTGGACACTGGCAAATAATCCACAAGTGACAGGGAGACTGGCGACAACTGCAACTCACCGAGAACTCCCCTCGGGCTGCGTCTTTTTTGGGTGGTTTTGGCTGAAACTTGCTGAGACTGTAACAAACATTTCGCTTAGGAGTGTGTTGCCCTATAATCCTGTAGTTGAGCTGTTTACCACATGATTTTGTATAGTATGGAACAAATGTTCCACTGTGGTGTTTAGGCTCAAGGGACGCACCCAAGACAGCCGTGCGCCCAAGGAAAAGTGAAGTGCGAATATCTGTGTGAAGTGAAAGGGTCCGGAACGTACCCGTAAAGCGTTTTATGGTAGCGGAGCTGAAGGCCAGGACCTTCGGCTGAAGAAGAGCCCAATACAAGGAGAAAAGAGCCTTGGACCCCAGTGTCACGGAAAGTGAAAGAAGGGAAAGTTGAATGGCCACGCCGAGTCCAGCTGGAGACGCAGATTTGCCTGTGTCCCCTGGTCACGGTGGTCAAGGAGGAGATACACCGAGTGATACGCCAATGGCGATGCCTGCACCAGACGGAGTTGCAGGAGGATCCCTTCAGGCCCTGATAGGGAACCTGTCGGCAGCAGCGCAAGCTTTGGCAAGTGCTGCAGGTACAGGAAGTACCAGAAGTTACGACTCTGCAGCTAAGCTGGTGAAGAGTCCGGATGTGTTCGCTCCAAAGAATCTGGAGGAGGAAGTTTCACAGTGGCCAGATTGGAGTTTCAGTTTCAAAGTGTTTGTGGGCTTCATTGATCCCACCTATGCAGAAGAGTTGAAGAAAGTGGAGCTGGCACCACCAAATCCAGCAGATTATACAGTTGGTGAAAGAGAGAGAAGTACAAAGCTGTATGCGATTTTGGCCTCGTATCTTAGGAACAGGCCATTGAAGTTATTGAAGTCAGAAGGAAGTCCAGATGGATATTCTGTCTGGAGGAGACTGTTTGAAGAGTTGGAGCCGTCAAGCCGAACAAGAGGGCTGGCAATGGCTCAAGCTCTAGTGAGCTTTCCCCAGATGACGAAGGGGACTTCTATCTTAGACTATCTGCTTACCTACGAAAAACTGGTTGCGGAATACGAAAAACTGTCCGAAGGAAAACCCTACGATGAGAATCTGAAAATCGGAACAGTACTCAAAGGTTTGCCAAATGAGTTAAGGAAACATATCCTGATAGGATTGACCCCTACGACGAAGTACGCAGACATCAGGAAAAAGTTGCTGGAGTATGAAAGGAGTACCCAATCGTGGAACGCGGAGAACATTTTGCAGTCTTTCAACATGGAGAGCGCAACGAAGAGTACGCCCTATTCTGGGCCACAACCAATGGATATTGATCGAGTGAAAGGAAAAGGAAAAGACAAAGGAAAAGGAAAAGGTCACGACAACAAAGGAAAAGGAGGCAAAGGGTACAACAACAAAGGAAAAGGAAAAGGAAAAGGATACGACAACAAAGGAAAAGGAAAAGGAAAAGGATACGACAACAAAGGAAAAGGAAAAGGTGGTTATAGAAATGCACGAGCAGTGGACGCTGGTGGCTACGGGAAAGGAAAGTTCATAGGAGAGTGCCACATATGCGGAAAGACAGGACACAAAGCAGCTGATTGCTGGCAGAATCAAGGAAAAGGAAAAGGAGGTAAAGGCAAAGTGAGGCAGGTAGAAGAGGAAGGAACCCATCAAGGAGATCACGAGAAGAGTTCCTCTAGCAATGCCCCTCCTACTAAGAATGAGAATGGTCAAGTGAGGCAGATCACAGCTGAAGCAGCGCGCCAAGCAAGAAGAGTTGAGATGACACAAGAGTGGAACGATGAAGATGAAGAGCTCAACTTTGTGAGATTGTGTCAAGAGTTTGAAGGTTTGGTTCAAGGAGAGCTGAGAAGAGTTGAGGAGTTTGATATCTCTTCGAGCGATGAAGTGGAAGAGATCGAGGAAGAACCGACTGATGGTTTGATGGAGTGGTATCAAGGATGGTGGTTCTTGGAAACAGAAGTTGAAAGAAGTGTGAGAATGGTTTCTGAAGGAGATGAAGTGAGAAGAACAGCAAGAGAAGTGGATGCATGTGAGGTAGTGCTCGACAGTGGAGCTGACTGCCATGTGTTGCCTATGGATTGGGCAGAAGAAGTCGGAGAAACTTCGAACTTTGAGTACCATCTGAAAGATGCGCAAGGGAAAGTGATCCCAACGTTGCCTGTGAGGCAGAATGTGACGTTTGTTTTCACAAAGGAGTCTGGAAAGAAGTTGAAGATCACTGACAGTGCTGTTTGCGGCAATGTCACCCAACCTTTGTTTGCGGTAGGAAAGATGTGGAAGCTAGGTTGGGGTACGGTGAATGAGGATGGAAGATTGTGGTTGAAGAAAGGAAGTGTTCGGATACCGATATACTTCAAAAGGAATTCCTCAATGGCGAGGATGTGTATACGGAGACTTGAAGGAGAAGAGATGACAGTGCAGCCTGTGAGGCTGGAGCGAGAACTGAAGAATGAGTTGAAGAGCAAAGAAGATGAAGATGGTTGGTTTGTGCTAAATGACGGCACGCCTGCAAGGTTTGATTGGTTTATGGGGAAGACGTTTGACCCAACGGGTCAGTTCCCTAATAGACTCTATGAGGGAGCAGGAGATGAAGGCGATTATTTTCCTTATAGGACAACCTTGCTAGGAAAGATGAAAAGAAGTGGAGAAAGAGTGTTGAATGAAGTGGATTGGAAGAGTATGGATTTCTTTGAGTGTACGGAGATCTGGAAGGATCGCGAAAGAGTGCAACTTGGGGCGAGTCCTCAAGCAAGGTTTGAGGTGATGGTCACCTTGTTGGAAAAGGGATTGAAGGAACCGAGTGACTATGGGTTGCTCACGAACTTGGAAGAGCTTGAAAGAGAACTGGCACAAGAAGGAGTGCCAATGGAGGTCACAGGAACCTCCTCAAGTTCGAAAGACAAAAAGGAAAGTGAGAAAGAGGAACCGAAGAGAGGAGTTCCAGTGATTGGTGAAGATGAGGAAGAAGTGATGGTGATTGGACCAATGAAGTTGACACGCCAGAGTGAGTTGAAGGAGATGAAAGCGGCGTGCAAGTATCTGCATATCTCGAAGAATGGATCGAAAGAGATTTTGTGGAAAAGATTGAAGAAAGAGGTTGCGCTGAGCAAAGTGAAAGCGCAAGCCCAAATCTCTGAGGATATCAGAAAGGAGTTTGAGAGAGAACCGATTCCAGAGGCTTTGCCTGCTTTGCCGAGCCCGGAAGAGATTGAAGCGCATGAGTTAACGCATTTGCCGAGAGTGCCCTGGTGTGAAGCATGCCAGGCAGCAAAGAGCAGAGAAGACAACTTTGAAGAGACGAAGGAGAAAGCGCAGCGACCCGTGTTTAGCTTGGACTTTATGTTCACAGGGACACAAGGAGATGAAAAGGAGAGAGATCCGCTTGCTATTCAGCTTGCGGGTGTTGACAACGACACGAAGTTCCTGATAGCTATTGCGGTGCCAACGAAAGGAGGAGATGCGGTGATAAACCACGCAGTGAGTGAAGTGGTAAGAGTGTTAGCCCTTTTGGGTTACGCTGAAGTGGTAATTAGAACGGACACCGAGCCAGTGATGATTGCTATCAGGAGAGGAGTTCAAGTGGCAAGAACAAGACAAGGTTTGAAGACGGAGTTGCAAGATGCCACGCCTGATGAGCATCAAGGGTTGCCTGTGGAAAGGTATATCCAAACTGTGAGGAACCTTGCGAAGACGTTGTTGGCAACGGTGGAGCAACGAAGTGGAACGGCCATCGGATCTGATGTCCCGCTTTATAGCTGGGCGTACAGACATGCAGCATGGCTGCACAACAGGTTTCATGTTGGAAGAGATGGCAGAACTGCGTTTGAAGCGACAGTGGACCGAACGTACAAAGGGAAGCTGGCCCCGTTCGGGTCAGCAGTGTTTGGAAAAGCAGTGCCAAAGACCAAGGAGAAAGGAGAACCTTGGGAGAAAGGAGTCTTTCTTGGAAAGGACTACGCGAGCAATCTGAACTTGATTGGCACAGGTAGAGGAGTGATCAAAGCGAGGACAATGAGAAGATGTGCTGAGGCATATCAGCCGGAGCTTTTGCAACTTTCGGTTGGAGCTCCATGGGATCATCAGCTGAAGGCTTTGAGGTTTAAGAAGAAGAGAATTGTGCCTATTGATGATGGGCCAGGACTGCCAAGATTGGCGGTGGAAGCTGACAAAAGAGTAGAAGAAGAAAAGAGAAGCGAGCCTTCGCCGCCAAGCGACCGCCAAGGAAGCTCAAGTTCTTCTAGCAAGAGTTCGTCGCTATCTGGAGCAACGCCAGAAGCAATGGACGACGAGAGCGATGACGATGACGATGATCCAGGAGAGGTGAGAACAAAGAGAAAAGCAGAAGATGAATTGGTGCCCGATGAAATGACGTTGGAAGAGTTTCAAAGAGAAGTTGCAAAGAGGAATGCAGAAGAAGAAGGAGAAGGGTCACCAAAGAAAGAACCAAGAGTAGACGAAGGAACTGGAGAGGTAGAAGAAAGAGTTGAAAAGGTGCCGAGACTTGGAGACGAAGCACGAGGAAGCGCGGCACGAGTGGAATACCATATTTGGAGATTCGCCAAGAGCGAAGATCCCGAAGAGCATGGAGATGAGTATGTTGATCTCGACGAGACACAGTTGTTTCTGGAAGAAAGTCGAGAGTTCCAGAGCAAGTGGAACGAGAAGGTGTGTGAGACAGAAGAGGACATAACGGTTACTTGGTCTCACGAGTATGATGATGGGCCACCAAAGTTGGAAGATGAAGATTTGGAAAAGGTGGACCTGAAAGCGGAGAGAACAGAAATCGAAAGACTATTGGAGATGAAAGTTCTCAAAGAAGTGGAACTAGATGAGAATGGAGAGTTGAAGAAAGGACCGAATGGAGAAGAACCAAAGAGACTCAGTACAAAGTACGTGTTGGATTGGAGGCATAGGGACCTCCAATGGAAGAGGCGAGCCCGCCTAGTGGCGCGGGAGTACAAGTGGCTGACGGACTACGATCTCTCAGCGCTATACTCACCAACGAGTATTGGTTCGAGCATCAAGCTGTTATCAGCTTTGTGTGCGAGTTCAAGAGACTACGAGATGATCTCGATAGACATTTCGGACGCGTACCTTCAGGTGCCACAGAAGGAGTACACGGTTGTGAGTTTAGGAGGAAAGTGGTACCAGCTGCAGTACACCCTGCCGGGACAACGAACAGGAAGCAGTGATTGGTTTGAGCACCTACGAGAGATCCTGGAGAAAGAGAAGATGGTTTCCGATGTGGGGTTACCAAGTTTCTTCTACAAGTTTTCAGAGACCCCAGGAGAAGGTGGAACGCTGATGAGTACACATGTGGATGATTTGGAGGTGTTTGGAAAACCAAAGGAGAATCAAGCAGTGGTTGATCTGCTGCTAAAGCACAAGTTGAAGATAAAGCTGGAAGGACCAGTGAAGGTTGGAGAAGGAAAGTGTACTTTCTTGAAGAGGACGTTCTTAGGAACAAAAGAAGGAATTGAGATCAGGATGGACGGCAAGTATCTTGAGAAGTTGGAAGAGATTCTAGGTTTGGGAAAAGCCCTGCCGAAGAAGTTGCCGTTTCCAATGGATTACGGAAGATCGTTGAAGGACGATACGCCCTTGGATGCAGATGAACATCATCTGTATAGATCCTGTGTAGGAATCCTATTGTATATGACACCGGAGAGACCTGATTTGGGATTCGCTACGAAGTGGTTGTCTGGGAAGTTGGCAGCGCCAACGCGAGGAGACTTAGCAGTGCTTAGGCACGTGGCAAAGTATGTGAAAGCGACAGCCCACTACGTGATAGAACACAAAGAGGCATATCCTGGAAAGAGTTTTCTGGATCCAAGTGATAAGAGAACTGAGAATGCCTACAAAGATGTTTTTACGGCAAAGAGTTTGATCGAGGTAGTGACCGACGCCGACTGGGCGACCGATCGTGAGAATAGGCAGTCAACGAGCTGCGTGTTGATTTTCGTGAACAGTAACATCGTTTACTTTCACGCGAGAAAGCAAAAAGCGACGGCTTTGAGCAGCTGCGAAAGCGAACTGGTGGCAGCTGTTGGAGGTTTGAGTGAAGGAGTTTTTCTACAGAACCTGCTGCACAGAGTTCTAGGGATTAGGCCGGAGATGGTGATTAGGATGGATTCTAGTAGTGCTAGGTCTATTCTCATGAAGAAAGGCCTAGGAAGAACGAGGCACATCGATGCAGGACTGCTTTGGGTTCAAAGGCTTACTTCTGTAGGTCTTCAAGTGAAAGCGATAGCTGGGAAGGAGAACCCTGCAGATGTAGGAACAAAGGCTTTGTCGAGGAACGCTGTTGTGAAGTGTTTGGAGAGAATCGGTGTGAAAACTGGAGAAGAGAGTGAAGAGGTCAGGATAGCAAGTGACTTCAAGATCCCTACGAAGTATCTGAGAAGACTTGTGATGATGATGATGGTTCAGCAGTGTGATGGACTAAGAGAGCAAAGCAGTAGAAGCAGTGAAGGTGGAAACTTTGGTTTGGTGATGATGGTGATGATGATGACACTGGTTGTTATCATGGCTTGCAACGGTAGCTTGTGGAAGAGTCTGGTTGGAAGTGCTGAATGCATGCTCTATTCCGCCGCTGCCGTTTTTGACTCAAGGAAGGAAGTGAAAAGAGAGGAAGTGAAAAGAAAGGAAGTGAGGAGAAGAGAAGTAGAAGAAAAAGAAGAAGTGAAAAAGATGGCCGACGACGCGGCCCTCAAGACGATGATCAGTGACGAATGCCGAAGCATAGAGTCCGTAACCCTCTGCGAAAGAGAGCTCAAAAAGGAGCGAGAGAGGAGATTAACCCTGGATGCCCTATGGCCCGAAGTGCAACGCCTCAACCAAAAGTATGAGCCTAAAGAGGCGGCCCCGTCAGAAGCTGCAAAGACGGAGGTTAAAGTGCCTGAAGAGTTTAAGAAAACAGCCGAGGAATTGGCTGGAGAGGCACAAGGAAGCAAAGGAAGTGCCGAAGGAAGCCAGGCACAGGTTATGGAAGATAGAGTGAGCGAACTGAGGCAGAAAGCCTTGGATGCTTCCGAGAGGCGAAGGGGCCAGAAGGAAAGGGCAAACGAAGCCGCAGAGAAGGCGAAGGAAACAAAAGAAGAAGAAGAGAAAAAGAAAGAGAAAGCAGAAGAGGAGCAAGAAGCCTCTGAAAGCGAGGAGAAAGTGAGTTCGGAGAAAGAAGAGGAAGAGCAAAGCTCCGAAAAAGAGGAAGAGAAAAAGAGAGGCGAGAAGAGAAAGAAAGACTCTGAGTCGAGTGATGATGAGTACAAAGAGATTATGGACAAGCTGGCAAAGAAGTCAGTTCTGGAAGAGGAGAAGAAAGTGCAGGACCTGCTTGGGCAGATGAGGGTTCTGCAGGAGAAAGTGGATGAAAAGAGAAAGAAATTCACTATTTATAGTGATTTGTATACGTACAAGCAAAAGCAGAAGAAGATCAAGGAGGAAGAAAGAGACAGGTTGATTGCAAAGGAGATAGAGGTAAAGGAAGAGCTGAAGCGGGTAGCGGACGAAGCGTTCGTTGCCAAAGAGTCCATAGAGAAACAACTTGACAAGCTGAGAGCCGAAGAAGAGGAACAGGAAAATGAGGCTACGTTGATAATGGACGCTGAGTCCGCCCTGCAAAAAGAAATGGACCAATTGAGGCCGAAACTCCATACTGCACTGGAGGAGTTGAAAGCAAAAAGGAAGGAACTGCAGGTTCCAGCGGGTGGACTGCTTCAGGGCGAAGCTGAGCAAAAGCTGAAAGAGATGGAGAGCAAGAGGATCAAAGAGATTAAAGAGCTCCAAGAAACGAAAGAAAGGGAGATCAAAGAGGAGATAGACAAAAAGGATAAGGAGATCAAAGAGCTAAAAGAGGCAAAGGACAAAGAGATTGGAGAATTGAATGAAGAAGTTAGAAAGCTGAAGAAGCGCAAAAGCAGTGCTGGGTCGACGCAAGGCCCACCGAATGAGGATGCAGAGAAGATGAAAGAGGAGCGCAAGAAAATGCGCGAGACTATCAAGGAGCTTGGAAAGAACAACAAGGCCCTCGAAGATGAGCTCCAGGTGCTTAAAGAGGAAAGCCGAATCAACGAAGATCCTGATGCGCAAAGCCAGGCAATGGTTTGCGCAGTATGTTCGCGTTTCGGACATGGTTCCGAAACGTGTTGGGATGCCGATTACAATTATACTGCCTCAGGGCAGTATGCCCCAAAGATGCAAAGGGAAGAAATGAGTAAGGAACAGTTCCAATCCTGGTACAAGAAGAACGAATTGATAATTCGAAGAGCATACGCGAACAGGTTGGAGACAAACAAGAAAAAGTACCGCACAGACAATGCGGAGAAGGGCAAAGGAAAGAAAGCCCAGCAAAAGAGCGGCTAAAGGAGAAAAGGAAAAAGAGAAGAAAGAAAGACCAAACCGGAGGTCTATAAAGAAAAAGGGAATCTGAAGGCTGAAAAGCCCAGAGGGGGAACTTCGTTCCCAAACGAGGAAAGAGTTTTCTGAAAGTTGTACGACAACTGCACCACGAGAAGCCGAAGAGTTTCTTCACGAGGAGAGTTTAAAGAGTTTGAAGAGTTTGTGGCTTTGGGCCACCACGAGTTCTTTTGAGGCTGAAAGGCCAAAGAGGTGAACGAGTTTGAGAGCGGCCGGTAGGAGTAGCTCTGTTTCACTCGTCTCACACCACGACAAAAAGCGAGTGCACAACGAGTGTTTCAAAAGGAGGAAAGTGCGACTGTTTTGGGTTCGTTGCACCTCTAGGAAAGAAAAGGCAAAAGAGGATGCACGAAGAGGGGGTAACAAACATTTCGCTTAGGAGTGTGTTGCCCTATAATCCTGTAGTTGAGCTGTTTACCACATGATTTTGTATAGTATGGAACAAATGTTCCACTGTGGTGTTTAGGCTCAAGGGACGCACCCAAGACAGCCGTGCGCCCAAGGAAAAGTGAAGTGCGAATATCTGTGTGAAGTGAAAGGGTCCGGAACGTACCCGTAAAGCGTTTTAGACTGGCTGATCCTGACACTTGTGCTGGTTGAAACTGGCTGATGCCTGCTGATGCTGGATGAACTGGCTGGCTGCGACTTGCTGATATTCTCAGTACTGGAAGTGTCTCCTGTCCGATGCTGGCTGGATGGTGCTCAATTGTAGTACAAGCTTAGTACTGGAAGAGCCTCGTTTCGGATGCTGTCGGGATGATGTCGGTGCTAGAAGTGTCTCCTGTCCGATGCTGGCTGGATGGTGCTCAATTGTAGTACAAGCTTAGTACTGGAAGAGCCTCGTTTCGGATGCTGTCGGGATGATGTCGGTGCTAGAAGTGTCTCCTGTCCGATGCTGGCTGGATGGTGCTCAATTGTAGTACAAGCTTAGTACTGGAAGAGCCTCGTTTCGGATGCTGTCGGGATGATGTCGGTGCTGGAAGTGTCTCCTGTCCGATGCTGGCTGGATGGTGCTCAATTGTAGTACAAGCTTAGTACTGGAAGAGCCTCGTTTCGGATGCTGTCGGGATGATGTCGTGCTGGAAGTGTCTCCTGTCCGATGCTGGCTGGATGGTGCTCAATTGTAGTACAAGCTTAGTACTGGAAGTGCCTCGTTTCGGATGCTGTTTGGATGGTGCTGGCATGTTTCTTCTGATTGTTTCTTTTTTCCCAAACGTGCAGGCCAAGCTGCGAGCCGCTTTGGAGAATGCTTTGGCCGAGCTAGACAAGGCGCAGGGGTGCTGATGAATGAATTGACCGAATTGCTCTAAACATCAGGACGACGAGAGGGAAGCCAAAAGAAGGAAGACAGCCAAGACAGTAGAGGTAGTTGACTTGAGCAAGGAAGAACCACAGGCAGTGGTTTGCAGGCAGAGCAGCCAAGACAGCCTAGACAGCAGCCAGACAGCTAGACGAGTCAAGAGGCAGGCCAGCTTTCACACACCTTCGCCGAACAAGCGTCTGTTCAGTCCTGACAGCAAGGGTGGAGACAGGCAGAGCCCAGGCAGCCAGAGCCCAGGCAGCCAGAGCCCGGGCAGCCAGAGCCCAGACAGCAACCCTGTGCAAAAGAGAAAGATAGAACAGCTCAAAAAGACCTTAGGCCAAGGCAGTCCAGTCTACTACAGGCTAGACTACCTTTGGGGCAAGGCAGCAGAGGCAGAGGCTAAGCCCGGCCTTTCGCCAGACACAGCTAGTGACAGACAGAAACAGCAGCAAGCTGAGAACCTGCAAAACCTGCAGCAGAAAGCCAGCCAAGCAGTGGAAAAGCTCGGACTGGAGCCAGCTCTTGGGGTTCTTAAAAAGAGACGGGGAGGCAGACCGCTAGGCAGTAAGCAGAAGACGAAACCGGTGCCGCATCTTCGCAAGAAGCGATGTGATGTGACAGCCAGAGCCAAGCTTTCCATCATGGAAGAGTTAGACAGAGCAGCCGTAGAGCAGAAAAGCAAAAGTGCAGCCAGGCAGCATGTCATGAGGCAGTATGGTGTGAGCGAGTCTTTTTGCTTCAACCTGCAAAGAGACTATCACAGACAGAAAGTCACTAACTTTCTCGCCAGCACGGGGCGAGGACACAGTGCCAGACAGACAGGCAGCCATTTGGGTCTCGTGCACCTTGTCAGCAAGTCAACAGGCAGGAGACTGCCTGACCCAGGCAAAGTGCTGGGTAGGCCAGACTTTCTCCGTCTGAGACCCGTGCTTGGGCCTTGAATGAGGAAGCCAGCCAGCACGTCCTGACGAGCACAGACCTGCTGATGGACTTCGAAGAAAGGCTCGACAAAGCCATTGCAGTCAGGCAGGCAGAACAGGAAAAGGGTCTTCTTGACCAGACAGGTGAGAAGGAGCTGGCAGCCATGGTGCAAAAGAAAGCCTCGCTAGCCAACAAGCCAAAGCAGAGGAGCAAGTACCAGGTCCAGCTCCTCGCAAAGTGCGGTCTTCGAAACAGATCCTGCCAACAGACAGCCAACCTGAGCAAGGAGGATGAGAAAGCCAGGCTAGACTTGTCCTGGCGACTTTGGGACTTGCTTTTGGAACAGGCAGCCAGTCCCACGCCACAGCCGGACTTGCCTGTAGCAAGCCCAGAGCAGTGGACGATAAAGCGAGCAGAGACAGCCATCACCATGTCAGATCAAGTACCTGCTTGGCTCAAGCCAACGCCAGGGAAGGTGTTGACATCGGTGGTGCGCTTGAAGCTAGCCAGCGAGCAAAGCAAGGCCAGGCGAGAGAACAGGAAAGCCAGACAAACACAGGCAAAGGCCAAACCTGAGGCCAAAGCCAAGGCCGCACCTTGGCGGTTTTGTTGGGTGGATTCGAAGTGGACTTTCGGGTTTAGGGTTTCCTTAAACCCCAAACCCAAAAGCCAAAGCCTAAACCTTCATGCACCTTCATGCTTTCGAAACCAACCGAGGCACCGAGGCTGGCATGTGCTTCTCGAGCCCCAGGTGTGGCAGCAAGGTGGCGAATCAGCTTGGTAGCTAGACAGGCAGTGCAGAACTTCTTTGCGCCAGACAGACAGCCAGTGGGTGTCGTTATGCCCACGATACTTGTCACATACGGCAAACACTGCAGACTTGAAAACATCAGCCAGGAAGGCACGTGGATCAAGTCCGAGTGCTTCCAGGTAGGCAGCCAGACAGTCAGGAGAAGGGCAGGCCAGCGAGTGCCAGGACAGGTCATGCGCACTTGGCGCAAACTGCGACAGACCCAGCCACACCTGTTTGATGGCAGTGTCAGGGTGTGGTGCCAGCCAGCCGCAGTGGTAGATAGCGTGATTTACAGATGGCAGCTAGAGCTCGAGTCAGAAGAGCACAGCCAGGCAGTGCAGCTCGTCGATATGTTCGGCGGAGCATGGACGACGGAGTCCATGCACGCCGCTGCACTCCTGCAGCGAGCTCAGACAGGCATTGCAGCCGGGTGCACCGGCTTGACCCAGGTGACAGACATCGGGTTCGCCCAGCCAGCCAAGGCAGCTCTCAAAAGGTGGCAGGAAGACTTGAAGCAGCGCATGAGAGAGAAAGCCAGACAGCAAAAGGTGCAGTTATAAGTGATTCATCTAGGCCCGGGGGGCGTGACGCGCAAGAGGGTTCAGGGCATTTGGAGCATGGGTTCCAAGCCCTGGACTTGAAAATGATTTGTTGTAGTAGGGTTTGATTATTTTTCCATCGATCAGTCAGCGCAAGAACAACAGCCTCTCCAAACAAGTATCGTCCCTTCCCAAGAAAACGCGGCACGTTTTGGAACAAAATCGTCGTGAAAGCTACAAACCTACAACTTGTGATGTAGCCAACCCAAACTGCAAACCGCAAGCAAGCATATCTTCCTGACTTTGTCGGCTGTTTTATGAACTCGAATTCCGCGATTTCTCAGCCGCCGGGCCGAAACTCGATTGGGAATTGGGAATCCGAATCGCAGCACAGTTCAGGCACATGACTCACGTGACAGTGACAGCTTGACAACTTATCATCCAATCTTGCAAGAGGACGTAGGCAGTAGGCATAGCCTAGCTTGCTTGAGGTGTTACATTGGATAAGCCAAGATAAGCCAGATCTTTTCGTTGTGTAGTGTCATAGTGCTATGGCAGAGCCTGCCATCTTTAGGCTTCCAGATCCTGGGGACGGTGAGCTTGAGGACAGAGAGTCCGAGTCAGAGGCCGAGGAAGCTCCCAGGTCTGCAGGTGCCCTGCGGACTGTTCGATATAGGGACAGACTTCGAAATGCTTCCCGTGCAGAGGTTTTGTTTCTGTATGCGAAAACCTGTGGCGACGAATCAGAATCTTTGGGCACCGCTGCTGCAGGGAATTATTTGTTTTGTGTTGCTGAGCTTGGGGGAAAATGCATCAAGCCGTTGGGTGCCCAAGAGCACTTGCAGCAGCAAGATACTTGGCGAGCTCGGCGTCAGAAACGTCGCGATCGAGATTTCGCCGCTAAGCAGATGTCCCTCCAGAACCAGACAACCCGAAACCAGATGTTCAAGTGCTGTTTGAAGTCTCTTTTTCGTTTCAGGGCAGCTGTCCAGTTGGGGCCTGCCCAGGCTGCAGTGGCAGGTGCCTGGTGCCGGGCACCTGCAGCTGCTAACCAGGGTGCGGTGACTCCTGTTCCTGCGATGCCCGCCTTGGCTGGCAGGTTGGCGGTTTTGCCTGCAGGGCAAGCGCAATGGGTTTTTCAAGCTGCTGCGCCAAGCGTCATCTTCGAAGCCGTTGCAGATCGCCAGGGCCTTTACACTTGCTTTGCAGACGGACAGGCGGCGGAGCCTGAAGTAGGCACTGCGAGGCGTTACCTAGGGCGTCCTTTCTGGATGGTTCGCTTGCCACCAACTGTCATGAAGCATTTGATGGAGATAGGCAAGGAGTTCGTGGTTCCTGGTGGGCTTGTGACTTCTTTGGGGCACCAGTTGCCCGGAACCGTTCCTGCTGCGGCAGAAGGAAGCCCCAGTGATGGTGCCGACAGTGGTTCCTCTTCCTCCTGCGAGATGAAGAAAGTGCGCAGGCCGGCCATGCAAGAAATCCTGTTGGGAAAGCTCGCTTACAAGCTCAGCTCAACGGTAGGCATTCAAGATGTGGTTCGCACCGTCCTTCGAATGTTAGTGCCAGATAGTTTAGGTCTGGCAGACAACATGAAAGTGTCGCATGGGCATGTGCGGAATATCTTGCTAAAGCTTGATGCCTTGCATTCCTTGTCTCGCCGGTTCCTTGCCACACCAGGTGGTGGGGCAGACAAGTCGCTGCGAATTGTCAGGTACATCAGTCCTGACAGTTCCCCGCAAGCGAATTATGATTATTTTTGTGCGACAGAAGAGTTGCTGCTCTATCGTTCCGACGAGCTTCCAAGGGATGCGGGTGGAAATGTAGCTCCTTTCAATGGCTTTCAAAGGGTTTGAACACCAGAGGCGTTCGATGTTGTGTACAACAATTGCGAGAGGACAAGGAAGCACAGCTTCGAAGGCAAGCAAGATGGTACATATGATTGCCGTTGAGAGTGGTGCGTCTCTCTTTGAGACGTATCGTTCGGAAGTTCGGGGCTTCTTAAGCGATCAAGGAACGGAGCGAGGCATAGCATCGTTTCCAGTCCGCAGTTGCTCTGAGGTCCAGAGTATTGTGGGCGCTCAAGCTTTGGCGAGCGAGGCAATACAGGAGGATTTTCGTGAATTGCCGCTCTTTCATTCCGCTCTACACATACCGGGAACACTACACATAGTGTTTAACGCACTGGAATTCAGCTTGAAGCAGCTTGAAACCTGGCAAAAATTCGAGAAACAGTTGAACAGCATCACCCGTGTGTGCAAAGAAAAGAGTTACTCAGAAGTAATTCTTGTGAGAATGATGAAGCATGCGAGCCCCGAGGAGAGACGGTTGTTGCATCGGATGGATGACCTCTTAGACTGGAGGTGGGATTCGCTCGCAAGAGTGCTGAAGGTTTGGGTTCCTCTATATCCCACCTTCAAGAAATATTGGAACCCAGCTGTTTTTGGTGGGGACAGCTCGTCAGTCACAATTCGAGCTGTGACGGAAGCGTTGGCAGACGAGTGCCATTTCGACATGGCAGTGTGGACGCATCAGTTCTCTGCCGAGGCCACCAGGCTGGCCCACTTTTTCGAGGGTTGTCACTGCCATCAGGAGCAGCTGACAGACCCAGAAAACCGGGAAAAGATAAACTGTTGTTGGAAAGGCAGGCGCTTGCCTTGGCTTGCGGTTGGTAATCTCCAGGGAGCTTTGCAAGATGCCATGACAAACAACGAGATTAGTGTTCTTGCGCATCTCTTGTCTCGTTCTAGTGAAACTGCAAGTCGGATGGCGCACATGGCGGACACGTGCAACAAAGTATTTGTTGCCGTTATCCAGCAAAAGCTTGCGTATGCTCAGCAAGTACCATGGGTGTTTGCCGCAGCGTTTGCGGGGTATATGGGCGAGACTTGGGGCCGAGTGAAAAAGGTTCTTCGGCCACATCTTCAGAACGTTGACAACATGATCTCCAGTGGCCAAGTCGGCGCTCTAGACTCTGTTACACATGCTTTGTTTGGACCAACCGACACAGGCCGCATGCTCCGAGAGTTTCTGAACTCGGAGGATGACGTGCCCCTTGATCGATGGCCAGCGTTGTTTTGGAGAGTACAGGAATATGCCTTTGTTTCTTTGTCCGAGCGACACACGGAGAGAGAGCATGTCGGTGTCAAGGTTGCAGCAAACCGTGGTCTCACAAAGGCTGGGCCTGCAGTTGTCTGCAGCCGCAAGCGCAGAGATCAAGTGTTGGAGATGCTGGAAGATGAGAAACAGCTCGCTTTCTTGGTCAAAAATTGGCGCAGCAGGCGCCTTTGGAGTAGCCTGCTGGAGCACATGCTCACTCACGAAGAGGTTCGACTTATGGAGACGCCAAAGAGGCTTTCCCGCTTGTACGGGTATAGCGAGGAAGACCACTTCAAAGATTGCGAGGACTCTGTTCGCGCTGATGCCGTTTACCGCCAAACTTTGAGAGATCAGACTTTGTTACTGGCCGGAAGCTTCAAGCTTCCGAGTGCTTCCTACCAGGTAGTGAACTGGCTGAAAGGCCATTTGGCGACGGGCGTGTTTTTCAGTGTGTCCACGCATGTCTTTGAGCTACTTGTCGACAGGGGTCGGAGATGTGAAGACCCAGCCGCATCCTTCAGAACCGACGTGCTGCTGTCTATTCTGCGAGCCGACGTCCACCCTCGGGTAAGTGATCGTGCTTCGGTTTTCTGCTCGGTGCTGGATGCCAGGCCAGAAGCAAGAACGGATGCTCGTGTTTCGCGACCTGCTGCACACATCACAGACCCGAAGCTAGGCCGCCGCAGCTGTGTGGTTGTGCAGCGTTTCCACGACGTGGATGTTTCCCAGGGCGTGCACGGCCTTGGTGGAGATGTGCGGGTGGCGTGCACGAATGTGCGGATCGAGGTTCTCGACTTGGCACGGGTGTGCACAGCAGAGAACTTGAAAGCCTTTTGTGCAAACTGTTTGCTCTGGCGTGCTATGCCTGCGGAACTGGCCTTGGCTCTGGGAGACGAGTCCACGCAGCCAGGTTTGCTGCAGGAGCCGCAAGTGCAGAAACTTCCAGAGATTGTCTTAGACAGCGATCCTGCCTGCTTGTTGAGTCGACCGCCTCCGGATCCGCATGTGGAAGATGCCCTCGACATCCTGCACCCCCCTGCCCATGTCGTGCAGAATGCGGACGACTCTGCGGTGCTGCAGGTCTACGGTGCTCCGTGTAGCGACCGAGAAATGCAAGCTATCAAAGAGTTGCTGCGAGCAAGGGCCATCGGCATTGAATCTGCTGTGTATGCCACAGACCTTGAACACTTCGATGCTGTTGCACTGGAAGGCTTGCGTGACCGAGGTCTTGTCATCTGCGAGACTGATATGTTCTCAGATGTATCCGTCGCCTTGACGGGCAAGTTGACCTACAGTGCAAGCTTGGTGCTGGCACGGCCATTGTTGCTTTGGGAGCTTGACCAAACGACTTTGACTCGAGGCCAGATGCCAGGCCGATCAAAGTTGGAGTTAATTCGTTTGTTGTTTGTCTTGGGCTGGGAGCCAGGGCTGGGCCGGGAAGCGTGGCATCGCAAGCAGGGAGAGAAACGTCTTCCAGATGACGTTCTAGTTTGCAGCCTCCCCTTCCTCAGAGCTTTGATGCTGAGTCGGCTTATATGGGAAAAGCCCGGCAACTTGTCGGGCATTTACTTGAAAGGCCCCCAGCAGTATTATGAGTTCTTGGTGGATCAGGACGATCTCAGCAGCTTGCGGGATGCTTCTGCAGAGGAAATCAATGCTCGGTTCGCGCAGAAGAAAAAAAGACCTGCTGGCCGCAGCTTGACAAGAGATGCGGCTACAGGTCTGGAGCTTGACCCAGAGGCTGATGATGCCGAGTTAGAAGAGCTTGTGCAAGAGCTGCCTGAAAAGCTCATGCAAGCAGAAGAGCCGCAGCCAAGCATGGCCAGCGGTGGTAGACGTGTCGCTCCTCTAGAAATCGACTTGGGAGGCGGTAGGACACAGGTAGTGCATTTTGACAATTTCACACACTCCAGCGGTCAGCTCCGAGCATTCGTTGCTTGCGAGACACACAGCGGCTGCCGCTTGTACACGTTTGTACGGCATCATGGCAGCCGCAGGCGGGCTGCTGCCTTTTTGCTTGCTTGGCAAATGCGAGCAGCTCACCACCGCAGAGCTGAAGCTCACATTGCGGACAAGCCAAGTGAAGAGCAGGTGGATGCCATGATGCTCCGGATCGCTTGATGCAACACACGGCAGTCAGAGTGAACGTTTGAGGGTTTTTTTTTAGTTTGTTGCATTGTTTGGATGCAGGACACGTGTTGGCTGACTGTGCTGCTTCCGTTTGCTGCAAGAGTACCTCGGTCACTGTGTGCATGTGTGACTGCCCGTGCATGTGTGACTGCCCGCAGCCCCTTTCGGCTCCTTTGGGCTGTGCAGGGGCCAATGCATTGGCATTTCTCCCACTACGGAAGGCCGGCAGGGAGAAGTGTAGTCGAGTCTCGAAAGCTTTGCGGTGAGAAACCTGTAAAGTTACAAAGCTTTGAAACCCAGGCAGTCCTTAAGCCCCTAGAGTAAGAAGCTTGCTAACTCACAGAGCCAGATGCGGCCACCGTGTGCTCACCTGGGTTTCGGGCTGCGTTTTCGACGCTAACCCATTTCCCAGGCTGCACTTTGGATCGGCACGCTACCTGGTCTGTGGGCTGCACGAAGCTACCCTGGAGCTACAGGATGCACAGTAGTCAGTTTAGCGTCCCCGCTATAGGTGTAGCAGCAAGCCAGGTTGCAGTTGCAGGTGTCTGTTGGAACAGATTAGCCTCTCAAAAGCAAAGCAAAACCCCCAACACCTTAAAAAAAATTGCTCGCAGGTGGGTGCCGGTGGTCTACAACCAGTGGGGCGAGGCGCAGCTCCCACACCGGCCGCCTGCGCTGTTGCCGCCGCATCCGCCGGCGGCGGCGGCCACTTTTGCTGGCACGGGTGCAGCCCACGGTGCAGCCACAGGTGGCGGTGTTGCTGCTAACCCCTCGGGGGCTGCAGCAATGCCGGCGCCGAAAAAAAATCCTGGCCAGGTGGACCTAAGCAGCGAGGATGACGACGAGGAGTCTGAGGAGGAGGAGGCGGCTAAGAAGGACGAGGACAAGGAGCCGGACTCCCAGTCGCGGAAGGATGATATCGTGGTGGTGGACCACGACCAGGAGAAGAAGAAAGAAGAAAAGGGTGGCAAAAAGGAGGAGGCTGCTCAGAAGCGCAAGAAGAAGAAGGAGAGCAGCTCTTCCAGCGGAGGCAACAGTGAGTCCTCCAGCAAGAAAGAAAAGCCCCGTGCAGCCGCCGCTGCCAAGGAGGCCAAGCAGGCACACGAGGCCCAGGCCGACGAGAACGAGAGCGGCAAGGCCAAGGAGCCCAAGGAAGACAAGGAGGCGGAGGCGGCGGAGGGCGAGCCTGCAGCGCGGCCTGCGAGGAAGAACCGCAGCCGGCACTCAGCGGACGAGGCAGATGTCGTTCGCTGCGAGCACTGCTGGATGTGTGTGAAGAAAGAAGGCCTGCAAAGCCACCTGGAAAACAGCGAATACTGCCGCCAGTGGCGGCTCCACGCCGCCGGCCAAAATTTGGCCGGCCAAAAGCCTGCGGAAGAGCAGGCGAGCTCGGGTGCGTGCCAGTGCAGATACTGCTCACGGCAGTTCATGCGCAGGTGGGACATGCTGCAGCACTGCCTGGGCACGCACCCGAACTCTGACGAGGCTAAGGAATGCTTGCAGGCCATGCACGATAAGCGGAAGAAGCAGCCATCAAAGGAGGACCGGGCGGCTAGCATGAGCCAGCACAGGCCGCCGGTTCAGCTGTGGAGCAGGGGGCGTGTGGAGGAGCCGCCGCACAGACGTGGCCCGCGGCGTGAAGAGAGCCGAGATGATGATGGCAGCCGTGGGCGCCGGAGAAGCCGTGGTGAGAGCCGCCAGAGCCGTGGCCAGGCAAGCTCTCGAGGCGGCGGCCAGGCAAGCTCTCGGGGGAGCCGCAAAGGCGGCGGCCAGGCAAGCTCTCGAGGGAGCCGCAAGAGCTCCCGCGGCAGCGAGCACATGGACCGACGCTTCTCGGGCCGCTCCCGCAGCCGCAGGGCGAGCGAGCCTGCGGCAAGCTCCGGCCGCCGTGGGCGCGATTCGCGGAAGGAGCCGACAGGGCAGCTAGGCCGCAGCAAATCATCGCCAAGGGATCGGGCCATGGTGGCGGGTCAGAGCCAGAGCCCTCAGATCCCCCAGATGATGCTGGCCTTTTTCGATGCCACCACAAAGATGCTGGACATGCAGCAGCAGCAGTCCTAACATCGAACATTTTTGGGCGAGAGGAAGAATCCTGGGCCTGGTGTCCTAAGATCCGTGCGATCCTGGACCCAGAGCCCTAAGATTCGGCTCTCGCAGAGGAGGCTAGGCCGCGGTAGCTAGGCCGTAGCCGTAGGGTAGGAGCCCGACTGGCCTTCACCCGCCCTTAGCTCACGAAAGCCTTCAGGCCCCAAGCAAAGCTACAGCTACTACAGCTTTTAAGCTTTTAGCCGGAAACCGGAAACCTGAACCCTTAGGCACCAAGCAAAATACAGCTACTACAGCTTTTAAGCTTTTAGCCGGAAACCTGAACCCTTAGGCACCAAGCACAACTGAAGCTGAAAAGGCCAAGTCGGAAGTAGCTCCAGTGTTCCACTCACCAAGCACTGCCGAGCACAGTCGTGCCAAAAAAGATTCGTTTCAGTTTTGTTTTTGCCGGGCATGTTGAACTCATAAAGGGTTTTAAGGCCACAAGAGGACAGAACACAGAAAACACAGTGAATTCTCAAGGGGGCGGCCCTGGGGGTCTTCGGGGGGGCTTTGGGGGCACTGGGAGGGCTCTGGAGGGCGTTTGAGGGGATTTAGCACCTGTTTGGGGGTGTTTTGGGTCGTCCCGCACATGTCCCCCGCCCATGTCCCGCCATGTCCCGCCCGCCCATGTCCCGCCAATGTCCCGCCATGTCCCGCCCATGTCCCGCCATGTCCCGCCCATGTCCCGCCATGTCCCGCCCACGTCCCGCCATGTCCCGCCCTTGTCCCGCCCGAGTTCCGCCCAGCCCCGGTCCCGCCCACGTCTCATGATGTCCTTTGCGTCCTCTAAACTCTTTGCACAGCAGCCGTTTTCTCTCGAGGCTTTGTTTGTGTTAGCAGCAAAGAAAAAAAGCGCCAGGGGTATGCCTGGCAAACGCAAACGAGGTGACTCTCCAGTGCATGAGACCGATGCGACCCAGCCGCAGGCGGGCAGCAGCACACAGGAGCGATCCGAGCGATCCCGATCCCCGCGAGGGGAAAGGGTTGCGACTATCATTTGGAAGTGGTGCTGGAAACGAATGGAGACAGATGATGGGACCATTTGGTGGTGGCAATGGTGGAAGGAAGGGTCAACGAATGGAGACAGATGATGGGACCACTTGGTGGTGGCAATGGTGGAAGGAAGGGTCCAGAATCTGAGTGCGGTTTTTTTTCGGGTCATGCTGTCGCCGACAATAAGAGTCTGCGGTGGAATGCTGTCGCCGACAATAAGAGTTTGCGGTGGAATGCTGTCGCCGAATTGCATGACTCAGAGATTGCATGATTGCCTGTCTCAAGGCCTTGCATGGAAATGGAAACAAGTGCATTGCAAGGGTAGACTGTGCCACCCAATTGCCTGACTGAGAGACTGCATTGCATGATTGCTTGTCTTTTTCCGTGGGTGGAAATGTTTACATCAGTCCTGAGTTTGTCACTGAGAGTGAGCAAAGCCAGTTCCAAGAATAGCGTAGACAGCCGGAGCCATCATCCTGATTTCTTTTCTTTCTCAAGCCAAGCTTTTGTTTTTAGTGGGTTGCAGCATGATGGAGACTGGGGCAGCGAAGCTCCTGTATGCGATGAGTCCTTGGAGCTCAAAGCTGGGGCGTGCACCTGTGGTTGCTGAGCCCTGTGTAGGCATCTCTGCTTATCGAGAGTGGATGCAGAAAGCAGGGCTTGTTTACAGGCCATGCGCAGCCTACGATTTCAACATGGACTTGGTGCCGTTTTGGCGAGCTCTGCGAAACCAGGGTTTGCAGGGGACTTCGGAAGTCAAACTGGGTTTGCAAGAAGGGGACATCGAGAGGAATGTCGTGCTGTCAAAACTGTCAAGTGCGGAAGGCTTGATAAGCGGGCCCCCTTGTCAGCCTTTTGCCTCCACAGGTTTAAGGCAGGGCGCCCAGGACGAAAAAGGCCGCACAGATGTTTTTGAATCAGTTGTAAGCATGATATGTGAGGAAGGCTCGCGTGGCTGTCTTCTGTTTTTCATTCTGGAAAACAGCTCACATTTGGCTGATGCCAACCATGCTGAGTTTCTGAATGAGATGCTCTTGAGACTTGAAGTGTCACTGCCATATTTTTTGGTAGACACCGTGAAAAAGGATGCTGCGGAGTTTCTGCCAGTCAAGAGAGGTCGTTTTTTCATCAGAGGGCTAAGGAGAGACTGCCTGCCAGACCCCATGCAGGCGTTCCTCCCTGCCCCCCTGTGCTGCACGGATCTGCTCCCGGCAGTCACAGTGGAAGAGATTTTGGATCTGAGCTTGGCTGCGACCGATGTGCAGAGTTTGTGTGCAGGGCACGCTGCTAACCTCGCATTGTACAAGCAGACCATATCTCAGTGCATCGAAGAGCATCGTGCCCAAGGCAAGCCGCTGCCCTCGAACACGGTTGTTGTGGAGCTCGACCGAAACCCCTTGAGAACTTTCGGCGGGAAGTGGGGTTGGGGCAAGATCCCATCACTGAGGACTACGGGGCCACCTTTGTTTCTTCTGAGTTGCGAGGACTTGTCGAGGCCATGGCAGGTCATGCGACTGCACAGGTGGCTCAGCATCGCTGAGCGGTGCAGCGCTCTGGGGCAGCGTGCAAGCCACGCGGCCTTGTTCTCGAGAGACACCCATGCCCTGCATGCGATCGGGAACGCTCTCTCGCCAGTGCAGCTGGCCGCTGTTGCCTCGCCGCTCGTGGAGGCAGCGGTCAACTCTGGCGTGCTCACTGCAGGCAACCGTTGCAAAGCCTGCGCAGTGGAGCTTCTGCCGCACACGAAGCCACCGGGTACATCAGCAGCTTGTATCCTTGAAAAGACCCCGAGGCCAAGCGCCACAAAAGGTTCCAAACCAAAGGCTGCAGTTGAAGAGGCAACACAAAAGACTCGAAAACCGAGGGCCAAAAGCAGTGCAAAGCCGAAGGCTTCAACTGAAGAGGCAAGC